CACTACGATGGTTTGTTACCAAACAATGAGCAGAATGTCTTCGCTTTGCTAGCCGAATTTTGATAAGTCGTCGATGGTCGAATGGTTTGAGTCGTCGATCTGTTCAGTGTTGCGTCCGAGGAGCCGGGGTTCAACTCCCCGCAGAACCATTTACTAATTTCTTGCTCATCGAAAATAAAGCTGTGATTAAAAAATGAAAGTTGGACTGAACGCGATCAGTTAGCACGGTCGCGGTATCGTCCAATGGACATTTACTACATTTATTATTAATTTAATTTTAATTGATTTATTGACTAAATTAATTCAATAATTGATACAATAATAAACTTAACAAAAAAATTAAGCACTAACAAATTAACATAAGTTAATTTTATAGTTTGGTGTGGGGTGGTGTGGGTTTGGGTTTCTGTGTGCTACTAACAAATTATTAACGAAAATATTAACAGTGTGGGCTTTCTCCTGGTTCTGTGATGTAGCTGGAAGCGTACTCGGCAACTCTAAATGGCAGCGATACTCACGATCAAGTGAAACGACAATTTTTTTATCCACTTTTAAAAATCGTAGTATTTTTGATGATTAATGTTTCGCCTGTTTGACTTTTTAGTAATTCTGCGTATGTGTACTGCATTTCAAATAATATCGAGTTCCTACTTTTAACTTCTTTTTTAAATATTTTTTTAAATATCTATTTATTCTTTACTATTACATAAAATAGCATTGACAGGAAAAAGAAGTCTTTTATATTTGTAAATGAAGATTATTTACTTTTACACCAATCAAAATTTAAAATATATATCCAAATGCATCAAATCACAAGTTCAATAGCCAGATTTGAATTAAATCCAAAATGAATTTGCTGTAGCTATATAAATAACAAGTTATCTGTGCCAATTTCCTACGAATTTTAATGGTGTTTCGATTTGAAAATGTCATTTTTTTACTTGATAAGCTATGAGGTATCGTTAGAAATTTATGGAGTTGTTTCTAAATGAGATTTGTGATAAATATTTCAACCATTCGTCGTTTTCAAGTTGATGAAAAACTTAAACTCGAGAATTTTTCTATGTTTACAAACCTTAAAAATCTTACATAAACAAATATAACGTAGGTAGCGACATCTAATGATAGTTCGAACTCATGGAGGGTTCTTTACATATTACTATGTACGATTTACGTGTGAGTGAAGTAGTCCATGATTGCACGGTGTGACACTTGAGTCACAGGTTGGTACATTTTATAGTACTGCCGATCTTACAGTTCGTCTGTCTGTGACTTAAAATGGATCATATTTGCACGAGCGAGTGCTCTAAGCATGGTACTAAAATGAACTAGTTCAGACGTTATTTAAGTGCTGATTTTATTTTATTTTACTGCACGAGACGAAGGTGCGGCACTCTTCTCATTTGTTAAACTTAAATATTTTTAGTAAATAAAGTGTATATGTATAATAACTTATATTGATATGTATAATATTAAATTTGAATGTAATTTATAATATATTTATTCATAGAATAAATTTCTCATTACTTAAAAACCATTTGGGAGAGAGGTTGAAAGACGAGAGAGTGGGGAGGGGGGTTAAAATTGAGCCAAGATATTTGTAAACGTTCCCCGAACAAAACAAATGAGCGAACGAATGAGTCAGTCAGCCGACGATGCATTCTCTCACATGCGTTGGTGATTAGTGACGAGAGTGCGTGATGCGCTCGAAAGTCTCGAGAAAATGTACGTGGAAACTTGCCCTGTTCAAACTTTTCGACAGAATGTCCGAAACAAATTACATTGAATTGAACTTGTGAACGAAACGTTGATTATGTAATGAAAATAGAGATACGCGCGACTTTTTTAAATCACATGCACGTAAACATGAGTTTTCCAGTGGAAATGAATTGTCTTGGGGTGAATATGTATATGTGCCAGGTTGTATATGACGTGCGCATGCAACTGATTCGAATCTAATTTATGAGGTCGGCTCCGGAAGATAAATATCGCTCGCTTCTCGTTCTCCTTGGAGTCAAAATCAACAACTTTTATATATGTCACATAATCAAGATCTTCAATAAGCGCTTGTCTTTATCCATCGAAACTTATCTCCAAAGAAAATTAATCGTCCATCTCCAAAGACAATTTATGACGTATTGATCTACTAACGATCACACTGCAAAAAAAATCTTAAATTAAGGTTTGTTCTTGAAATAAGGTATGCAACCAACTAAAGAGTTGCAAAAATGATTGAAAAACAGAAAATAGTCAAAGAACTTATATTTATAATTCGAAAAATATGAAAACTCTTAGACGGATATTTAAAATAACGTTTTTCTATAGTTGACTAATTAGTACGGGCCGACTATTCGTACACATGATTGAGCGGAAAGGGGGGATAAGAGAAAAATGCAGGCGTCCATGACTTCAGTGGAGCGATACGCTTTAGCACCAGCGCATTAGGACTCGTTATTGTCTCGAATTTCGGACGCCGACGTCCACGCGCAGAGATCTTCGTACGAGGGCGATCGGGGCGCATCGGCGCGAATTATGAGCCGTCGCTTAGGAAAAAAGTCAACTGATCGAAGGGTACCGGGTCGTAGGCATAAATCAAAGGAAAACGAGGAGATGGCGCGCGCGCAACCCTTTGTTTCTCGAGCGAGTGAAAGAGGACCGAAAATAAAGTTGAACGATGGGTGTTCGCGCCGCTGCTTTTCCCTGCCTCTGTGCCCATTTCCCGCGGCACGCACCGCCACACGCCATGCAAGGGCGTGGCGCGGCGTCTATTTATCGATATGCGCCTGCTGTTTCTCTATAGCCGCGTTATCGCGCCGCGTTCCATTTTTCCCTTCGTTATTCGCCACCCGAGAGGCGAGTTATTTCTTTACTACTCGCCGAAGGGGCGAGGGGAAGGGGGGTTCCGGCTTGCTGCTTGACGTTTACGATTCGGGTCACATGGATACGGAAGAATTTCCCCTCAGCTTTGCTTTAATGCTTTCGCGCATGAAAACGTATTTCTTAGCTGGAGTGCAGCGGTAGGTAATCGTCCAATGAAGGACCGTTGCGCTGGTTTCTTTCTTGGAGAGCCTGTGTCACGTGATTATTCGAAGTTTGATAAGTTTTTTTTTTTTTCGAAAGAATTACGGATGTAGGGTAAATTGTTGCCAAGTTATAATGCGGTAGTAGGTTGCTGCGCGTGTGAATTGCAGTCTGAACCAAATCTACGCGCAAGATCGAAAAATAAAGTTTCGCTCGCCGTTACGTCAACTCTATGCGGCGGATAAATCGCAACGAGTAATTTAATTTGTTCTTTTAATTTTTTTCGTCCGATATTTTATGGACCAACGCGAAAGAAAAGATCGTCATTTTGATCGCCTGGCCAGCGTAAATCGAGGTATTTTCGTAAGAGTGCGCGGATAACGAGGCTGATTTGTAGGCCAAAGAAGCGAGATCGGGTTCCGACGATTTTTTGCCGCCGCTGCAATACGCAAATTCGGTTTTAATCACTTGGCGCGCGCGAAAAGCTGCTTTCGTACGGTGATCAAAGCCCGTAAATAAAAGCTTTCTTCGGAGGGTGTGTTTTTCGTGCCTTCACGGGGTGGGGGGTGACCTTCTCTGCCTTCCCTTCTATTTCGATCGTAATCGGAAAAGTGATTATACGTTCCGGAAGTGCGCGCCTGCGCAAGCCGTGACCGCGGGGCCATTCTCGCGTTGTTTGGGTGCTACGGCACGCTTTTGCTTCCGCTTCGATTGGCTCAGCCTTCCGAACTCATTACTTTTCCGTCCTCTTTTCCCTCGTAGTCACTTGCACGTGGAACAGGCTCGGTGCCAAAGTGATTTGATGGCGATGACTTCACTCGATGATCCATTTGCGAATATTGTTCGGAATCTAGCACGAAAGCGTTACCGGACGAGGTGTACTCCCCATTCATTTATTTATAATCGCCATTAGACCTTCCTTGCTATTCCACCTTCTGAGAATTTCCGAATAGATTCGCGCAGAGCACTGTCGTTAGTTTTCCTCAAATTTTGCCTCTGATAATCTCAGTATTATTCCAATTTCCCATAGCTCGCGTACTACATTGACGCCCGTCAAGCCAATAACTGAATGTCGATAACCGCGCCATAAACCAGCATAAACCAGCAATAATCGATGCTCGCGCAAAGAGGCATCCCCGACGAGCGAGATGGGGCGCTGGAAAGGGTCGATCGCCATACAGGAAGTGACGATTAGACGAGGAGAGGCAGCGGAGCGCGGCCTTTTCTCCGCTCGCACTCGCCCGCGTATATTATATTTTTAGCTGTGCGCGCGCGCAGCGAAGTCGGACGCGGTCCACAAATCTAATTTCAACTCTCGCGAGCGCGTCTGCGGCGTCTACTCGCGCGGAATTTCGGGCGCGGGTTCACAGACCTCGGGCCCCGAGAGTCATAGCGGAGAGATGCGCGTTTGCTCCGACAATGCGCAGGCGAAATTCGAAATAGAAGTATAGCCGGCGCGGTCCACCGACTGCCCTTTAAATACTCGATCGTGTTTCGTCCCTTTCGCGGCTAGTCGAACGTCACTCGTTCCTCCGCGGAATATTCAAGACGTTCGTCTTCCGCGGGAGTTTCGGAAGAACGAATAATTCGTCGAGGTGAATTCGAAAGCTTGGAGTTTACAAATGAATTGTTTTCAAATTGAATTGAGAAGGGAAAGAGGCATTGCCGTGGGTGAACAAGACAATGCAGGGGGGAAAAGCGTTTACGTCGCCGTCGCTTGTGGAAGCTTGCGTAAGCCGATCTTCTCCCATTGTCAAAACAAATCAGTAGCGACTTTGTCTGGAATAAGAGAAACAGCCGAAGCTTATACACGACGTGTATCTTTCGGGTCAGTAGGTTTATTTTTGAGCGAAACTCCCGCGTGGGATTCTTCCCCGTAATACTTCCCGATGACGATTAGATTCATCCCGACCAATTATTAACAAAGCGGCTCGTCGAGAGCGGTACACTTCTTTTCTGACCACGGTGTTATTTTGCAGTTTGGGCCAAGCCAGCCAGCAAAGATGACGGCAGCGATTACCAAGAGGACGACGTGCAGGAAGAAAGAGAGGTCGACTACAGCGAAGGACCAGTAGTAGCTATCTCTCCGCCCCAGACGCTGTTCGTTCCACCCGGTGCTAGTGTCTTTCTACCTTGCGAAATCCAAAACACGGGTAATTATCAGGCATCAGGCGCCCCAGATCCACATAACATCGATTATCTTCTACGGCGATATTAACCGATTGATCAAATCAACAGATCAATTCGCAATCGAATGGAGAACGGGTACGGACGTCGAGCTGTACGTGGATAATTTGAAATTAACACAGAACCCTGACATCAACAAAGAGCTCAACAATACCCTCGTAATCCGAAACGTGAAAGTAGGCGACACTGGCGAGTACAAGTGCAGAGCTCTGACTAACCCGCCGGTCACCATCTTGCACAAAGTGTTTGTTCAGTCCGAAGGCATCACAGTACTGCCAAGTGACAAGAATGACGTGGATCAGGGTGCTTCTCTCACCCTTACTTGTCAGGCTGGCGAAGATATCAAACCCCTTGCTATGTATTGGTCTCGCGCGGTGCGTAAATACACGTCTTTTCGGTACGATGAGGCTTCGTTCGTTTGATACTAATCCTACTGCTTATTTATCGATATTGCAGGGTCAGAGATTGAAAGGCGAAGAAAGCAAAGTCAAAGGACAGATTTTTGCGATTTCATTGAACATCAAGAATGCCACGAGACACCTTGCCGGCGTGTACCAATGCGTCGTTGAAGTCGGAGCAAATAATCCCATTATCAAGTACATCTCTCTCAAAGTCAGACGTAAGTACGCGCAACCTAAATTCATAATTCGCCAAAGCAACCCAACAGACAAATTCAATCCGACTGTGTGTCCAGACGCGCCTGAGATCGAGTACGCATACGAGGAAGCGAATGGACACAAGCATCATATCAGCCATTACTCGACGTCGATCGGTACAACTGTGAATATCACTTGTTTGGTTCACGCTCATCCGGGTGTCAACAAACTCGTTTGGATTCACAATGGCAACGAAGTCAAGATCGACAGTGTCAATTACTTCAAGGATGACAAGCCCAAGAGCCACCATACTCTTGGAATTAGAAACGTGACCAAAAACGATTTTGGAATCTGGCAGTGCAGAGCACACAATGTTATTGGCCTAGCCCTTGGTCCAGAAATCACGCTCAATGATGCCCCTGGACAGCCACGGTTCGAATCAGGTGAGGGCATCGAGGATAGTATTGAGCTTCGCTGGAAAGTCTTCAGTTTCAAACCCATTAATAAAACCGAGGTACGTATTTGTCAATCAACGTTTTTTTACGATTCATGCATCGACTTTCATACGAATCGTTGAAAATTCATTTACAGTTTTTGTACCGTAAACACGGCGAAACCGAATGGAAACATGGTGTTGCTAAGGTCGATTCCAGTATTGGTAAGGAGCAAATTATCATTACGACCATTAAGAACATTTCTGGCAAACACGAAGCTAAAGTGAGAGCAAGCAACGACGACGAACATCTTGATATGCATGATGTTGTATGGGGACCCTATTCTGATATCAAGAAATTTGACGGAGGTACGGAATACTTTGCTATTTTTATCCGACCATTTTACATCAGAAATGTTATAGAAAATTTGGATTTCAACGTTTGAATTTTCTACAATAAAATCTTATATTCAACATTAATTGTAAATCTTCTGTATTAACCGGTCATTCTTTTTCTCATTTTTACAGAACATGGAGAAACTAAAGCATTAAGTAAGTTTTCATCCTTCGTGACATTGATCTATAGAAAAAAAACATTATAAACTTTATGAAACTGATAAACCTTCAAATTTTATAGCTGGGGGATCATCGGGGATACCAAATGTGATGTGGACATTGATATTTATTATCGCGCCATTGGCTTACGTGTGTCTTTAATTCGTCAATCGTGTTAACTCAACATAGGTATATAACTTCTTTTTTTTTCATTCGAAATTTACTCGCCTCTTCACCATGAAAGCTAACGCATCTATAATAACTTGCAGGTACATAATTTTCAGCCAAAGCGTTCACCAGTAGACCTCGTGATAATCACACAAGTACACAGACCGCAACACACATCGAGCTACGCAATGGAAATGAAAAAAGTTAGCGGCATATATGATATACCTAGGAAAAGAAGCGTCTCCGTCTTTCTCAACTCGCTTATCAACAAAAACTAGATTCAGCCTTGCGCTATGCGCACACGAAGTGTCTCATAGAGCCAAAGATGATTTCACTCTCTTTCATCTATGAACGATGCTCGTCGATTCAGTCGGATATCGGCACAAGTCATTGTCACAAGTGCAACTTACTCTTAGTATTTGTTAGATTGCGCGAGTCTGGAAACATTAGCCGCTTCGAGACTTCTTTTTATATTTTTCTTTGTCATTTATGTTGCGATTAGTAGTACACGCAATTTTCTGTAACTGCATTGTCAGCTTTCATATACATATATATATATATCCTCGTGATATTGTTCTTTCATAGTCAAGGGAGTACAATTGTTTTTTCTTCAAATTTTCGATTTACGATAAAATTGTATGGGCAATAGTAAATTTAGTGTGTTCAATATTGAATCATGTTTTATGTAAAAAAATGATGATACTATGTTCACCATGATTTTACAAGGTGCCTTAAAAAAATTTTACCGACAATGCGAAATTCATATACATACGCAAACACATACGTGCGCGCGCGTACACAAGCACACACACAATATTCTACAATTTTTAACGCCGTACGCTTTACTTAGAAGGATTTTGTAAAACAGATGAATAGAAGGTGTGGGGGATGACTGCAAATAACATTTGTAAAGTGTGTTGAATTATTTATCTTCGTGTATAAATATTATTTAATGACGCGGTTATCAATTGTTATTCATAGTCATTTTTCAATTTGAAGAAAGTTTAAAGCTCGCATGAGAGAAAAAGTAAATTAATTTACTTATTCCTTGACACTTAGAAAAATTCACTCTTATAGAGTGAACATTGTGGAGTGGAATCCAACTTCGAACCATTTGTATTCATTCGTTGTTACAAAAAATCATATATTTTTATTCATCACGAGTCTCCTAGGTGTGCCATTTTTACGTTTGCGTTTTGTTAGTGGAGGTCATGAAAAATGTAGAGTAACAGCAAAATAAGTAAAGGAAATAATAAGAGCATTTAAATTTTATGGAATTACGAGGATAAGATATATAAGAGATATTCTATACATTATATATTTTAAATAATCTATATACAGAACGAAAACACAAAACGGCATCATCGCTCTACGGCTAAGTATTCACCTTTACATGAATAAGTCAAAATACAGATATATACACAATTGATACTATAATTTATTTTTGTATGCTTGACTTATGGAAGGAGAAATTAAATCTGCGTTCGATGTTGTTAAAACGCTTTAGCATTATTATTACAAAGCAAAGTTGTCGAAGCATCGAACGATATTCTTCTTCTATTTTTTTTAATTTTTTAACTACTGTAACTTATTTTTTAGAAAGTTCAAAACTTTTCGCAATCAGTGTAAGCGTTTGTATCAATTAAATTAATCATTTTGATTCTGCTTAAGTTTTGTTAAAGAAGCTAATCTAAGAACGTGCATGTGTAATTTAGAAATTTGGTTTTTGAAATGGAACATAAATGAAGCAGCTATAAATTGATATAGTATTTTGAATTGCCGTTAAATCATCGTTGTTTTGAGAAGAAAAAATTAAGTGCTGTTAGCTGAACGTGGATTACGTAAAATCGAAATTACAAGTAAAAATTTTTAACAAAGATACAGCAATGTAACGTAAAGTTGTTTTAAAAACTATTACTACTACATACTATACAATTTCTTTAAAAAAAGTAGACGAGTAAAAATATAATATACGTTACCTAAGATATACATACCTATTATAACTGTAACTGTGCGATTGTTAAGAATGAATGTGTGTTATAATAATGTGAATACGTGAAAGATGGAGCTCGTTGATGCTAGCGCGACATATGTCTTATTATTATTGTATTAATAAATGTAGGTTTTATTTCAAATAGTTCTCCACTGAAGATATTTTTGTATGAAGATGATATCTCATTCTGAATCCCAAAGAATTTTCTTACATTATATCTCCGTTCTCCATAATCGTCCTATCTTTTTACATTCAATGTATTTACTTTGTCTATATTCAAATTCGTTGATAAACTAGAAAAGAAAACCGATTTTTCAAACAAAAATATATTTACTGGAATTTCAATATATATATATATATATATATATATATATATATATATATACATAAATACATACGTACTATATAAATATAGTAAGCGGTGTTAAGCATTCTATTCTTGTTATGCTTGAGGCCTGAAAATCACAAGTTAGAAATAACGGAGCCTTAATTCCTTGCGTCCATTATAATCTTTGAAAAAATGGAGACATTTGATTTTTGTAAAACATTGAATCCTAAAAAGAGAAAACTATCAATTTCCAAAATGAAAAATGTAATTTTTTACGGTAAACAATGTCTTACATGATCAACTGTCACAATTGCAAATTATAAAAATTCTTATGTTTTTTAAGAAGATTAAGAAATAAAAAATTAGATTTGAGGTATATTTCAATTGTGATGTGCGCTAGAGGAATCATTAAGTTTACGTTTTTCTTTCTTTTTTGTCTTTTGAAGGTGCAAGAGAATCACTAATTATTCTCTTTTTTCCTAGATTTTTACTTGCAGACTTCTTTGTGTAATGTCAATACAATCTGTATAATCTTGTAAAATACGCTTATACATATTTTTTTTTTGCTATGAAGACTTCTGTGGAATGTTACAAGCCACTGCCATCAACATGTGGTGCAATGAACGTGTTCGTAATGATGTACTATTATTTAGCTCATTAGGAGATAGAAGAAGAAACAGTATGGTAAAATTCGTGTCTTAATCAAAGTAATAATACAAAGGTGAACTTGATTAATCAATAGAAAATCTTTATTAACTGCTTTGCAGTTTTCAATTGAAAAAAGTACAGCTTGACGTTGCCTTAATGTTTATAACTTGTACAATCACAGAATAATGTAAAATATATATTATGGACATAAAATCTTTAACTTCTTTTTCACTTACATACTTACCTTCCATATTTACAAATATCCACTTTTATTTTTAATAATACCTAGTGCACTTTCATTATGGTTGTAAAATAGATATTTCAATAATTTTAATAAACAATATAATAAATAGTATGGCAAGACTGTTACCCGAATATATGACAAAAAAAAATCACTTGCATGTAATATTTCTAAATTTTACCGGAGTATATATTTACATTTACATTGATATTTAGTATAATATATCCATACCTTTATTATTACAGGAGTAATAATAAAGGTATGGACCGATATAAATTACGTTTATAAATTTGAAAAATTGAATTAAATACTATCTATGTGGGTCACAAAATCTTCGAAACTACCGGATGTGTTCAGCAGAACTTTTAAAATGTAAAATATAAATCAAAAGCCTTAAGTAGTTGATAAATATAAAATTTCGTATAAAATCTATATTGGAAGCTTATTGATAAAAATACTCTAATTCAAGGCTATTTTTTTATAATCAATTGAAATTCGGTTGAATGTCGACGTTATCAACACTTATTGGAGTCATTACGTTTATTAATGTAACAGGTTTTCTATACGTTTTCTTAACAATGGTAAGCTTCTTATATTTTTTTTCTTCATTACTCTTGTTAAAAAATTTATAACATACAATGTACCAACATTTTTGTACAAGATTATTTAGAATACCTAAAAATAAATGTTTTGAATTTAGTAAACAGTTGGTGCAATTATCAAAAAATGCTTTTTCAAGAATCAATAACAGTTATAGCTTTATAGATATTCCTTTTCAGTTAAGGACTATATAAAATTAATAATATTTGTTTTACTAATTTATAGTATCTTTCCGATTTCTGATTCTGATATTTGTTTCATGCTATCATTGAATTTGTTTACATAAGATAAACTGAAGTTCAAACGATTTTTTATATTGAAATTGATGCATAGATTAAATCACAAACTTACCATTAGTTACAAAAATACATCCAACAGTAGCACTTAATCTAATGAGAAATTGACCAATTGAATCGCGTTCCTGACTAACTTTAACTTTTAGTGCACTAATGTCATACTTGAAGTAGATTCCGGGTAGTTCATGTCTTTTTGCTGTGGAAACTGGTCTTTCATGATCTCTTACACTGTATTGATAAGTTTTTGATTTGTGAATTAACATGTCAATATCCGTAGGTATTATTTCAATGAAATATTGGTACATCATTTTATCTAGAATTAATAAAAACGACTTTTGACAAACCAACCGAAACCGTTCTATATTTCTATGCCTATTAAACTTACGATGAGTTGAAATTTTTTCATCACCCTCCAATGGGTGAATAATACCTGGGCTTGGCTTTCCAAAAGAAAAGCGATTAATTCTATGCGTAAAATTGTATTCCTTATCACTCATATGTAAAGAAATATGAACATGGCCTTGTGGAAGAGATATGGATTTACTAGCAGTCACATGAAGGTTTCCTGCTACTTTGTTTATATCTATACTACCAAACAGTCTACACGCATGAACTGGATATTCAGGCTTGTAGTCCCTGGAATAAAATAATGTTTGTTTTAAATAGTATGAGAATGTATAAATTCAGAATTATTTATTATGTTTCAACCCCTGTGGCATCTTTGAACTTGAAAATATTAGCTGATTAGATTTCCACAGAAGTTCATGAATGGCATGGTACTCTTCTCTGAAATATGAATTCATGTGCTTTAAAGCTTCAAAGTGATCCCGCTGATCAGGTGTTAAGGCCCACCAAGTGTCCTCTGTATTCAAACTTCTTGTGGTCAATGAATGTTCATTAGTTGAGTCTAAAATATCTGCTCCAATTCTGTCACATGGCATTGCTACAGTCAAATCAATATTCATCTGCAAATGATTATCTTGATCTGTATCTGGTTCAAACTTGAATTGAAGTCTACTATCCAAGAAATATTTAGTTTCAGCATAAATAACATAAATTATAATGCACACACTGACTATTGAGACTACAAAACAATGACTAAATTATTTAACGTTAACGTTGATATTGTTAATACTAGTGAAGTATGCAAGAAATAGAATACCAACATGTTCCTCCCACAGCCGATTGCTTTCTATAATCATCGGAAACTTTTGGAAATGTATCAAATTCCCTCACGGTCTTGATAATATTTCTCTTTCGGATCATGATTGTCTAATATAAAAGTAACTCCTACGACTGTGAAAAGAAAAGAAATTCATACCATTGCTATCGTAGGAAATAAAGGGAACGAGAAGTCTGATTCGTCAGCAATATTTTTGATTAATTTTCAACGGTTATTAATTGACGGATACTATAAACTGTAATGGCAAAGCAAAGCAGTCGGACTGACGGAAACGCTGAAATGCATTTGAACAAGGTTAGGGGCATTGGCTCCTCGAAATCGCATGTTAACACATCACGAATATCACTCTAGATAGAAACAAGCGTAATGACAGAAGAGGAGTATGACATACTCAAAAGGAAGACGCTAAAGGAACTATCATTTATTTTGTAATGCACTCAAAGTGCCCGATGACAGTCCACGACATTTTTGCTGCACGTGTGTTACCGTGATTGCCGTCTGCTTTGATTTTCTTGTAGAGCGACCCTTCTTTGTATGTATGTATGTACGTATTGTAATAATTTGGCCGCACCGCCCGCATTGCCCTGCCGCATTTACCAAGGCGACAACGTTAAATAGAACCGACCGATGATTTTGCGGTAGCGTGAAGAGTTCCCTCCTAGTCTTTGTAATATTTCATTTCGAAAAAAAGGAACTACCAAGGAATTCGGTCGGTCAATCAGGAAATAAGAAATTTGATATCTTTGTCAATTTTTCATTTGACGAACTGTGAAATTGTGAATTTGCTATTAGTAATTAATTTACATCGTTCAAGTTATGTATCGTTGCTGCTTCACATTTTTTTAATTCCATTCAAATTCATTCGATTCGAGTTTCATTTAATTTCCGCAGGCAAGGGTAACCAAACGATGAACCAGATTGAGAAAAGAAAACATGAGCACTCACGCGCATTGACATTACCTATATAATTTTGCAAGATGGTCTTAACGACCGTGTGATATTTAATTAAATTTTCATGATACTGACAGTGCTCAAATCGTTGAAAGATCATTAGCTACCTTTCGGCTGCTATTCTCATTGTTTTTGTTTACGCAATATATTACCGCCCTCCTTAATTGCTAATTTCAGCGAAGTAACCTAGCAAATAATAATACAAATACATAGCAGTATTTATTTTGACTTATCGACCATTGGCGATTATATAATTGCTTTTAAGATATCTAATGGTTTTGAGTTTGATGCAATTGAATTTTTTTAATAACGGATGTGTAATTTGCATTTCTCACGAGATATTTTAAGATATATTGTGTAATGGATATATATATATATATATATATATATATATATATATAGTCATGTGATGTAATGAAAAATACGGATAATTATTTCAACTATCAATTGGTCTATCTCGATTAATCAACGTTGAATTTCACAAATTTTGATTGGTCTATTGTCGCCGACCAATCGTATCACATCTCGTTAAAATATATAAGCTTCAGTAACCACGGTCTAGATCAATGGTTTGAATGCTCTGGTGGTATAAACACTAAGCATCGAAAAGTGAGTCACCACGGCTTTCTTGCGAAAACTTCTGACCTCGATGGGCTTTTACAAGCCTGGCCTCGACATTATCAAGAACCTACCAGTTGAACTCTCCCAAATGATATTCAGCTATCTGGACTCTTCCTCTCTCATGAATGCTGCTCTCGTATCCCACTACTACCTTTCCATTTGCAAATCCACCTCCATTTTTCGACGAATCATACGTCGTCACACTCGTCAACGCTACGGCAAATTTTCCAAAGTTCTATCATCCACTAAACCCCAAATGCCCATTTCAGACCGATCGTTTCTGTTCCTCGGACAACCATGCGCCTCCACATGATCTCGCCTCGCATTAAATCGGCAATACAAATTAACCATAACGTTCTTATTACTAAACCTCAACTTTCTACTTTATCTGCAAAACCCACTATGAAACTTCATTCGATCTGTGCATCAGCTAAACCACCTTTCTCTACTATTAATACTTGTACGGTATTCACTCCAACTGTCAAAAAGCTTTTAACTTTCAGATGTTTTCGATTTTAAATATTAATATCGATTTCAATGTTAATTTAGAGATATTGCTAATAGCAACACGATATAATTTTGATGTACGAGTATTCGATTATACTGACTAATGATAGTTGATCATATTCATAAGGATTTTTAATACAAAACGCTTGTTACCGTTTTCTATGTTGTTAACAACGTAATTTATATTTTTATACGTACGATTATTTGGATGAAAATCGGAGTCGGTCATGTGTAGAATCGTTTGAAAATAAATGGATATAAAAGTATGATTATCGTTGGTATTAAATTACTTATTCATTATGTTTGCTGTTAACTGTATGATGTATGTATGAATATATTTGCATTAAAAGCTACGTCGACGACGTCATCGCGGTTTTGACGTTACCCCGGCTGAGTCATACCTTCACAGTGATCCAAGGGAAGTCCATCTACGAAGCGATGAGCTAACCATCGATAATACGTCCTCGAGGTTTCAAATGAGTCGTACGCGCGGTCAGAAATCTATCGTTATTTTTTAAATAACTTTTTTTAATATTATTTTTTAATATATTAAATTTGAAATAAATTTATAAAGGAATAATCATTGAAAAATCACTGTTTAAAATATTTTTTTGAAGATGATCATTACTGATATGATTATTAAAATTGGATTGAATTCTCCATTCACAATAGTGAATTTCATAAATTTCAATTAATTTCGAGTGCGGAAAAAAGAAATTCGTCCACATGTACTATATATAATACTGAAATGACACAAAACAAATTTTAGGAGTAGTTCATCTCTAAAAAATTTTTCCACCGACCAAAATAGGTCAACTTTATTATTTTACTTTACTTATAAAGTAATTAATTTTATTTATATTCACGTGATTTTACAAATTTTAAATTAAAAAAATAAAAACTTTCTGTTTTTTTCTAAAAAATAAGGGTTGTTATCCCTTCAGTAAAAATAAAACATTTATCTTCCCCGGAAGAATAATATTCACTTTATATTAATATTAATTTTAAGCCGAGATATTAAAAAAAACGCTTTTTGGGGGTTAAATTAGGGGAGGGTTTTACCCCTTAAAAGTGAAAATTAGCCGATAAAAAAAGATACGTGTCTCTTATTTTTTTATGTTCTACAATATGTATCAAAATTATCAAAATCGGTGAGTTCGGGTTGGGTACCTTTCCTTGTAAGTTCAATTAGTTAGCGCGATCATTCTTGACGCTTCCAATGTACATTTTACGATATTTATAATTAATTTAGTTATTAATTAATTTAATAATAAAGTAAATAATACATCAAGCAATAAATTTCAAGTTTAGTATGGGGTAGTGTTAGGATTAGGGTGTGCGATTATTAGTAACAAAATTCAATATTAATTATAATAGAGAGGGTTTCATGGTTCCGTGATGTGACTGGTAGCGTTATCAGCAGCTCTACCGATTAACTAACAAATCGGCCATTTTTTGTTGAATTCCATGATGTAATTTTCTTCGCTTGGCGCTGCAAATAATTCATTTGATTAATGTTTGTATTTTTATAAATTATTGTATCTTGTCGCCGAGCTAATAAAAAATTGATAATAAAAAATACATTTGAAAGCGAAGCAATCAATATGGGTTTTTAAATTGTTCATTATCTAGTGAAAAAAAGTATTAGTGATGGTAAAGCAAATACTTTTATTGAAAATATTGTGTTTGTATGTGTGTATAAATAGATAAAATATGAGTTGAGCGTGTATACATGCACTTGAAGTCAATTCTTTTCTATTTTCGTTTTAACAGATTTTGTGTAATTCAGTGTATAAAATACAATTTAAAAGCTGGAAATAATGGTCCATCCTCTTCGTGTCACTCTTACGGTACCAGCGCGGCCAAATTACCTCTCTTCCGGCTTTTGAATAGGCGCTATGTCAATATAACTTGTGTGTATTTGTATATACACACACACTCACGCTCGCGCGCGCGCGTGCCAACTTCTCGCCGTTGTCTGAACTCCGACACGTGTACATATATATGCGCGTATATATGTGCGCGCGTGCGACTGCGTGATTTTTTTCTCTGCTAATATTCCAATTCTTACCACTCGCTTACCATCACGCTTGGGTGACTTTCGCGAGATGCTTGGTTGCTTATTTTTTCAATTCATTTAAAAACTTTGACATAAATGAATTTATAGATCAATCAATGTAATTTCAAAAAACTACGGAAATTTTATAGTTTTAACGGTTGAGCAACTCTCACGAAGTCAAGATTTATAGTATTTATAGCATTTATTTATAGTCTGAAGCCGTGCGGAGATTTTAGAAAACCTACCACTTTGAATAATGTGTTACTTATTTTGAAATTTGAACGTGAATTATCGTTCGATCGAGACAAGCGATTTCTCATTTTTATTAAAGATCTTTTCATTATCCATAACATTCCTCATTGTAGTATATACACATTGTTCCAGTAGTTTTCATTTTATAAGAGGAAAACACATTTTTGCTATTCTCAAACGTTCTTTAACAATCGATGACCAATAAAAATTACAAATTAGAAATATACGTTTCTATCTATTGATAACAGCAAAAGTTAAGATACAATCAGCCATTTGTTATATGTCTAAAAATTCTCTAATTTGCTTAACTACACTTAATTAATCGTCATTTACGCCGCGCCACAACCGCGTAGAATTTTATGTTTAACATATACTAGCTTTCGCTGTTGTCATATCGTCAAATTGAAATAACGCAAAAATAGTATATATCGTGACGAATGCAGAAACGATATCTTTTCAAATCGCGATTTTGCGATACTAGCTGTAAGGTGTACTGTGAACCGTTTCGAAAGTAAATTAAGAACATACGCACGAATTATTTAGCTGTAACATTTGATAGTCGAAAATAAGCGACAAAGATATGTGTATTTGAGGTTGAAATGCAAAAACCTACATTATGATCGAAACTTACCAATGCGAAAAAAGTAAATCCTGTATTCAAGGACAGTGTCACCGAGAATTAATGATTAGCATGTCGATTCTTACGCGTGCCGCGACATCACGCTATGTACGCGGCAGCTGCTCCGATGCGACTGAGACTCCCGTTGAGTCTCCTCATACAGACAATCGTCCGATTAGATCAAACGCGTCAAATCTGTTTGAAAGGCGACGAGAGAGGGGAAACCTGCTACTTTCTCGTTCCACGTTCGAAAGAAATGATGCAAGACGTGCGTCGATTGAAAAAACCGTGAAGAGAAGCACCGACGAGTACTTTTGTGTTAAAAGCGACCAACAATACTACATCCATCAATAGTTGATTGTAATGCTTATGAAAGTCAGACTCATAAGTAGCAAGATGATTTTTTATGAAAAAATGATTAACTCAAACGTAGATTGATTTTAAACAAGAAAAATATGACAATACTTGATTAGATGTAGCGCCGAATATAATAAAGTAGGCGAAGAATTGACGACGTACTTCCTTGCCACTTGTTTTTATTTGTCACCGACTTAATTGTATTTTATTCTTGCCCTATTGTATGCTGTACAAAATAAATATCCAACTGTCGTTTAAAATGAAACTCGTGGACTCGATAGGCGCGCTTAAAATACTATAAAAATCCAGAAAATTAAGCTAGATGGCATCTCCAATGGCGAACAACCAAAACCAGTTGCCTTTGAAAAATGCTTCGACTGTACTCCAAAAATAAAAGTAGTCTCTCGTATATACGCTCGATCTCATCTGATGGAGGAATGTTCACAAACCACGTAATTTTTGTCCAAATATTCCACAGCCTTTATTTGAAACAAGGCCGCAGCATTGTCGTCGTGCTCTATAGGCATTCCCAAATAATTACTGAGCTAGCCTGCATAATTTGATCGTCATCTAATTTTTTTTTTTCGTTATAAAATGAAAAATGGACGAATAGTTGCTTGATGGTTGTACAATAAATTGCCTTGATTGCATCTTGCAATTTAGTCACGTATTTTTCAGCAAAGTTGAGTTTTGCGAAAACTCAATTATCTCGTAAACTTGCTTCGCGACTTTTTGCAAATTCATTTTTGCAATGTAATCGTGTATTCCACATGAAATAATAACAAGTATTTTTAACGTTTGAACAAATTCATCTCTTGGAAACATTATCGAGACTAACTTAAGTCCGTTGAGGACTGCTTTTTCCCATTTTCTCAATGAGAAGAGGCTAACTCAGTAACTTACAAGAAAGAATATTGAAGCCAGGAATTTTTCAATCTGCATATTAAATCTACGTGCTTCGATACATTTTTAATTTTGTGGCGTTATGCAACACGACACACGTGCGCGAAGGATGCGTATCAAGTAGTCAAAACAGCAAATTTCTCGAGTTTAGTTTAAGTGCGTAGGCTGCTCTCGAGTTAGAATCTATGCTCCGAATAAGCCGTTACGTAAATGTTAAGCAGTGTAAACTTGTTTATACAAATAAGGCAGCTATTTATACACTTATACGATTTATACATTTATAAGATCTTATTCGGTAATGATTTACAAGTTTGCGATTTCGTTAATAATTTAAAATGCGATCGCGATTGTTAACTTCGCAAATGAACAAAAAATGTTGTTATTGCGAACGCATACCCAGATTCCCCCTGATCTCTTGCGGTTTGTTGTAACGTGCACAAGCGTAAAAGGCGTTGTCGCGGTCGTGTAAGCTATTAAGATCGAGTTTTTTACTCTTGGAGGCTGCAAGCTCTCGTTGGAATTAGCTACCTCCCGCGGTGAAGAGTAAAAGACGGAAAGGGAAAACTGCGCAGTGGCCCATGGAAGAGCCAAAAATAAGGCTGTTTGAGCGGCATCCTCGCAGCGACAGCGTCGGCGAGAGAGCTATCTCGTTTGACATCTCGTCCACGCGCAGTTAGCATCTTGCTCATCAGCTTGCTTTAAAATTCTAAAATTCTTCCGAGCTGAACAGATTCTACTGATATCTTGCCGACAAAATACTTTATCAACGGTTGCAATTTTTTAGGTGTTCATGTATGGACTCTATTTAGGCCGATGGATATGATAAAATGCTTCGCAGTGTGTAAAAAGTGCAATCAATTTTCAATCACGTATTTATGCTCGTTAAAAGTAACAGAACTGTCAATATGTATGTATCTTTTCTGCCTCATATTTCTCATGTACAAACTTTGCTTCAATTTCTATTATTTTAAAGTGAAATAGATTTTCTCTTTATAATTTTGCCTTTATAGTTTCTTATTGGCAAAGTTTTTAAATATATCGATTTTTTTTAAATAATAAGTTTTTAAATAAACTAAGCGAAGTCTTTTCATATTTGATTCTTTTTGTTAGAAATTTTCATTGAAGCAGATATATTTTACGGTAAAATCTTAATTTTGTCTATAACTACGTCGGTCGAAATATTTTTTGGTCGTACAATCTTTCTCTGTACTTTGCGAGTAGGATTCTCTATGAGAAGTGTCAAAACAGATCATTTATCTGCATTACTCAAAGTGTCATTAATTTTTAATTTAATATCTTCAACTTACTTTAACTTAAAATTGGACTTGACGTTTTATAATGTCTTTTTTTAAACCTTGTCTTCATAATAAAGTACGCGAGTGTGACGGGTATTCGGCGTACACGTATACGCGGTTGAAGCCGGAAGCGCGAAAGCGAATAGAGGGGGCGTCATTCCACGAAAAAAATAAAAACAGACGGCAGTCACGGTAGCACGCGTGCAGCAAAAATGTCGCGGACTATCATCGCGCACTTGGAGTGCATTACAAAATAACGATATTTCCTTTAGCGTCTTTCTTTTGGGTACGTGATGCTTCGTTCTCGTTATTACGCTTGTTTCTATTTAAAATAATATTTGTGATGTGTTCACTTGCGATTTCGAGGAGCCAATGCCCCTAACCTTGTTCAAATGCATTTCAGCGTTTCCATCAGTCCGTCTGCTTTGTTTTGACATTACAGTTTATAGTATGCGTCAATTAATGACGGTTGGAAATTAATCAAAAATATTGCTGACGAATCAGACTTCTCATTCCTTTTATTCCCCACGATAGTATTAGTATGAATTGTCAAATGCTTACTAAAAAATGAAAAGAATATTCTTCATTACATGAATTGAAAACCATATTGTATTGATTTCTAACTTATTTTTCCCTTTCACAGTCGTAGGAGTTACTTTTATTTTAGACAATCATGATCCGAAGGAGAAATATTATCAAGACTGTGAGGGAATTTGATGCATTTCCAAAAATTCCTGATGATTATAGGAAGCAATCGGCTGTGGGAGGAACATGTTGGTATTCTATTCCTTGAATACTTCACTAGTATTTAAACATCAACGTTAATGTTAAATAATTAGTCATTGTTTTCCAGTCTCAATAGTCAGTGTGTGCATTATAATTTATCTTATTTATGCTGAAACCAAATATTTCTTGGATAGTAGACTCCAGTTTAAGTTTGAACCAGATACAGATCAAGATAATCATTTGCAGATGAATATTGATTTGACTGTAGCAATGCCATGTAGCTTAATTGGAGCAGATATTTTAGACTCAACAAATGAACATTCATTGACCACGGAAAGTTTGAATGCAGAGGACACTTGGTGGGCCTTAACACCAGATCAGCGAGCTCACTTCGAAGCTTTGAAGCACATGAACTCATATTTCAGAGAAGAGTACCATGCTATTCATGAACTTTTGTGGAAATCTAATCAGCTAATATTTTCAAGTTCAAAAATGCCACAGAGGTTGGAACATAATAAATAATTCTGAATTGATACATTTTCATACTATTTAAAACATTATTTTATTCCAGAGACTACAAGCCTGATTATCCATTTGATGCGTGTAGACTGTTTGGTAGTATAGATATAAACAAAGTAGCAGGAAACCTTCATGTGACTGCTAGTAAATCCATATCTCTTCCACAAGGCCATGTTCATATTTCTTTACATATGAGTGATAAGGAATACAATTTTACGCATAGAATTAATCGCTTTTCTTTTGGAAAGCCAAGCCCAGGTATTATTCACCCATTGGAGGGTGATGAAAAAATTTCAACTCATCGTAAGTTTAATAGGCATAGAAATATAGAACGGTTTCGGTTGGTTTGTCAAAAGTCGTTTTTATTAATTCTAGATAAAATGATGTACCAATATTTCATTGAAATAATACCTACGGATATTGACATGTTAATTCACAAATCAAAAACTTATCAATACAGTGTAAGAGATCATGAAAGACCAGTTTCCACAGCAAAAAGACATGAATTACCCGGAATCTACTTCAAGTATGATATTAGTGCACTAAAAGTTAAAGTTAGTCAGGAACGCGATTCAATTGGTCAATTTCTCATTAGATTAAGTGCCACTGTTGGATGTATTTTTGTAACTAATGGTAAGTTTGTGATTTAATCTATGCATCAATTTCAATATAAAAAATCGTTTGAACTTCAGTTTATCTTATGTAAACAAATTCAATGATAGCATGAAACAAATATCAGAATCAGAAATCGGAAAGATACTATAAATTAGTAAAACAAATATTATTAATTTCATATAGTCCTTAACTGGAAAGGAATATCTATAAAGTTATAATCATTATTGATTCTTGAAAAAACATTTTTTGATAATTGCACCAACTGTTTACTAAATTCAAAACATTTATTTTCAGGCATTCTAAATAATCTTGTACAAAAATGTTGGTACATCGTATGTTGTAAATTTTTCAAGAAGAATAATGAAACAAAAAGATATGAGAAGTTGACCGTTGATAAGAAAATGTTTATAAAACCTGTTACATTAATGAACGTAATGACTCCAACAAGTGTGGATAACGTCGACATTCTTCCGAATTCTAGTTAACTGAAAAAAAATAGCCTTGAATTACAGTATTTTTTTCAATAAGCTTCCAATATAGATTTTATACAAAATTTTATATTTATCAATTACTTAAGGCTTTTATAATTTAGATTTATAGTTTACATTTTAAAAGATCTGCTTATACATTCTAAAGTTTCAAAGCTTTTGTAAGTCATACAGATGATATTTGGTTTAATTTTTCAAATTTATAAAAGTGAATTATATCGCTTCACACCTATTATATATTATTTTAAAAATTGGAGATATTACATGAAAGTGATTTTTTTGTATTTTCATGTTCTGATAATGATACTTGTACTATTTATTATATTGCTTACAAAAATTGTTGAAAGCTCTATTTAAAAATTATGAAATTGTACTAGGAATCGTTAAATAAAATTGGGTATTTGTAAATATGGAAGGTTATAAGGATAAAAAAGAAGTTAAAGATCTTATGTCCATAATATATATTTTATAATAATATATATTTTATATTATTCTATGGTTGTATAAGTTATAAACATGAAGAGCACGACAAGCTGCACTTTTGCAAATGGAAAACTGCAAATTAATTAATAAAGATTTTTTATCAATTGATCAAGTTCACTTTTGTACTTCACATTGATTAAGACATGTTTTACTATACTGTTTTTCTATCTATTTAATTAATTAATTAATCTTAATAATCTAAATAATAGTACATAAAAATACAAGCATGTTCATTGCATCAGATGTTGATGGCAGTAGTTTGTTTAACAGTCCTCAGACGCCTTTGCAACAAAAAATATGCATAAGTGTAATTTACAAGATTATATAGATTATATTATCATTATACAAAGAATTTTTCAACTAAAAATTTTCGAAAAAGAGAATATTTAATGATTTTCGTGAATTTCGTAACTGATATACAAGGTGAGTAATTTTAATATATGGACTCGTATATATTTCAAAGTACGGTTTCTACAAAAAAATGGTTCACATAAATGTTGACCAAGACAGAGAGGGTCATTATTCAGAATTTAGAAAAAATTTACCAAGAAATAAATATTCGTAATTGTGTAGAATGTACAATTGTTTGAACGGCTTTAATTTTTTTCCTAATTGATGATAGATTCTATATATGTGCCAAATGATTTCTTATTTTTTTGCATCCTCGACGTAAATATACTCAATAATTTTTTTTTTTCAAAAAAATAGTATGTTGCATGTATTCTTGTTAAACTAAATTGGTTGTATGCAAGTGCAATTTTCAACAGTACCAACAATAAATAAAACAGAAATTTTATTTGTTGTTACGCTTATTCAACTAAGTCAAAATTTGTCGTATCTCGAAATTACTTTAACGACCTGCATTATTAACAAAAAATATGTCAATTTTTATTCACTATAGTGCATTTCAACGTGGATATTATTACAATACAATACTATCGAGGTAATATTCTCACAGAGTCCAGGAAGATGTCGAACCATCGGCGACCGCGCGAACGGAACAACAATATCGCGTCTCGACTTATATTTTTAGTTCCAAATCTGACATTATGTATTATTTTATTTGCTAGTTGATATCATTTACTAAATCCATATTTTTTAACATATTCAATATTAAACGTAGTCGTTATAAAAAGAAAATCATTTGCCATGCTTATGAACACTATAACTTTTTAAGAAAACAATATAGTCGTTTTGCTGCGAATCAATATACAGTGCTCTGATTGTAACCAATATTTCTGCGATTGTTGAAAAGTTCTCATATTCATCACCTATTAAAAATTAAATTATCGTTAAAACAGTGTAAGAGTATCGCAACTTTTCTTACCAAAATAGTCGTAGATCTTGTACGTGAAAAACGCGTTACCTAAATTTTATCTCGTCAATCATTGATGAAAGTTGTTAGCTCTTTGATCGATAATAATAAAATAGTAAATAAATAAACAATATCTGTCCGATTATATCACTGCTCGCGTGTAACTAATCGCGCAATAGCATCAATCGCCACGCCATCGACAGCTAATCGGCTGACGAATAAAATGTCTCAATATGGTCTCCTCCAGCCGACTAGGCTCCTATTTACGTTTGGAACATTTTGGGTTCCGCGTGCATATCACTTGATCCAGACTGATTCATCAACCTGAGTTTTTTTTTCTAAACTATTTTTCTCGCCATTACGTTTGTGCATCTTATTTTGTACGTTTTATACTTTGTTTTTAGACGCAGCATGACGTGTGCGCTCATCACAGCCGCGAGGCCAAACGCCCACGCGCAAATTTCTTAAATGCTCGCGGTAAAATTATTATTAAAATAAAACAAACCGCGGAAAGTTATGTTTACATCCAACAAAGATCTCTTTTTAACTTTTGGTCCATCACTTAGTTATTTGAACAATGTAAATTTTTTGGCTTATAATTTTTGAAGGACCAGTCGATTTAGTTTATTCGAGCTAACTTTAAAAACATCAGACTTTTGGGGTTAATTAGCTTAAAACTATCGTATTGTCCTCATTTTATCTCTTTCTTACATTTTAACATTGCAGCTATTATGATGCATAAAAATACGCTGTCAATTGCATTGCTTCCAAGTTTGAAACGAACTATATCCTTTATAAATTACTTTACTTTTTTTACGATATTTTCGCTATGTATATTACTTCTAACGAGTGAATAATATAATTTATGGAAAAATGAATCAAAAAACTTTGCTACAGTTCGAAAACAATTTGTTGTCATATGCAAGAGTGGAATTGTTATCGTCATTGATAATCTTTTTAGATGAAAATTACATTTTATTTGTGAACGTGAAGTTTAACGAACAAGCAACTTATCATTTAAATTTTATATCGTAAAAATCAACAATATTGTTATTTAAACATTTAAGTAAATAAAAAGGGAATATGGTTAGATTACATAAACTTAAATCAAAGGAAGAAAACTCTAAAATCAAAACTCACACTATAAAAGAAAACATACGTTGATAAAATTATTAATTCAGAATATTACACCAAATAGAAGTTATTTAATATACAATAAGTTATCGCTTTTTTACAAGGCAAATATGGTAATATACATAACAACGAATAGAAAATAGAAAACGAGCGACATAGTCGTATAATGAAAAGAAATCGTAAACTGATAAGTATTTGACAAATTATGCGTTTGCGGCATATGCGCCTCCCGAGCGCACCAAACAATTTCAATTAGAGAGAGAGCGAGAGAGCGAGAGAGAGAGAGAGAGAGAGAGAGAGAGAACGTGACGATACAACCATTTCGCTTAAATCCAAACAGATGGGCTTAAGCTGTTCATTTTCCGGACACGGCACGATCGAGGAAACCCCGCGTCCTCAACACGCTCGCTCACTCGGATAGTACGCGCATACCGTCATGAAAATTGGATTAGGCTACCAACCGCGCGCAAGTAATCGAGAATTCGAGTTCGGCGCTATATGACTCCTTCCGCGTTGCTAATTGACCTCCACAACAGGGCCCAATATTTCGAGGGCGTTTCCTCCCCTTCTTATCTCTCTCTCTCTCTACTCTCTCGGAAACTTGCAGTAATGTACAGTTCAGTTACGCTTCGAAATCCGCCGTGTGTACGATTCTCTCTCAGAATCAGTCTTTTCCCGTTTCATTTCTTTCGTTTCGTCGTGGGCGAGCCCCCGTCAACGTCGCGCGTATCCTGTGGAACGTCGAATGTGAAACGCGACTCGGCGAGCCCGCGATCGCGACAAGGGCTATTGGCGTTCATCGACCTGGCTGAGGATATGCAGCACGGTATCCTATAAGGCGTCTTCGACCCAGGGTCGGTCCAAAGAGCGGTCACTCGGCCCATCTCCATCGCTGGGGACAGTGCAGTACGAGCCGTGCCCGTGACCAAGACATTGGCACTGCGCTGCTCTAGGAGTCACCTTCCTTCACGGACGAGGGGTGCGAACGGTGTGGCGTTGTAAGCTAATAGATATCAAGTATCGAATGGCTATTTAATAATCTCTAGCATGAAGAATCATGGGAGTAAGCGAGCCTCCGGTCATTGCAATTAGTAGCGTAACAGTCTCTATTTTATTTTTTATGTCATGTAACTTATAACCGTTTATTATATTTCTTTGTATTATGGCTGTGTTTAAATGGCTTTTTCACCACTCATGACTGGGTTTTTTTTATGCTGGCTATATACTATTTCATTTAATTTAAGTATTCGTTCATTAACATCCAGGATAATCTATTCCTTGGCCTACTAATAATCGCTTACCTTCCCCTTAGTGTAGATTCGTAAACTCATAGAATCATTGCACGAAACTTTTATTTTCACCTTTTATTATCCCGTCAGTTCATCGTAAATATTATGAAATTTTCAACGCACACGTACAAAAAAAACGAAAGTCATTAAAATTTGCAAAAGCGATTTTTTACTTGTATTGCACAAAAATGATGCTGAACTGTAACACTCGCACTGACGATAGTAAAAAGTCACGTTAATATTACGAGAATAACCATAACATACCAAATTTGAATAAAATATCTTGAAAACTATGGATATGCCAGTGGAACAAATAAAATAATGAAAAATGGATATCACGCGAAAAGGAATTTTAATGTTTATGAAATGATAGGTCAAATTAATTTTTCTGAGTAGATGCAATACATTTAGATCTTCCAATTAACAAAATTAATCTTCTATTTATAAAAGTAAAAAAATTATAGGTAAACTGAAAATTTTTCAAGAATCACCATCTGAAGTCTTCCTCTGTAAAGAAGCAAAAGCTCCGATTTTTATAATCAATTTTTGCAAATCTTCAACGATTATGAAACGAATTTGAAAAATATACTTGTAACTAAAAATCAGTTTCACTAAATTATGACTGCAAGATCTTATTCGTGATCAAGTATTGCTCAAATTTTTGTACACCAATAAAGATACAGCTTGTAGAGGCGACGCAAGATCTATTTCTGATTATGACTTCATTTGGTGAAATTACACACGTACACGCGCTCGCTTTCGCGATCTAACGAATGAGAGAAATACTAGCTTTAGATATTTTGTGTATCAGGAATTTACGTATCACACATTGAATTGCTTTATTTTCATTGTTTTTGAGTCTGAGTCGAGCTAGTAAACACATTCGTTTCATTATACTTCTGTTCTTCCCATCGACTTCTCGCCGCATTGAAAGAAATGAAAAACAGCATGCTTTATCAGTTTTTAATAAATATATACTCTCTATTTTAACTTCATTAGTGTTATACGCTCACATACTTATGACGACGTATACCTCGTAAGCAGATTTAATTTGATACTGTGGCTAATCCGCGCTTAAGCAAACTCATACAGGAAATGCCAACGAGCGCGACTTCTCATGTTTCCTCTTCCGAATTTGGTCCATCCCCTTGGCGGCTCTCGCGTGCGGAAATGCAGCGAAACTGGCTCAAAAGCGTGGAGCATCAACGACGTACTCGTATAAGAGTCATTAACCTGCCCGACGCGACTGTTTCAAACGAATAACTGGCATTCGTGACTTAGAAATACTGCGACATATCCAGATTTTGCATCCTTTCTAAAATATTCTTGTCTCCTTGTGAACTACAGCGAAAACAATACTTTTAATTAATAATTACGCATAAATATTGTGTAGCAACTGTAAATTGAACGAACGGGTTGTCTTTCTCGTATGGCTGTATTTCTTTTGTATACTTTCACTAATAAAATTTTTAATTCTAATTGGCTTCAAACACATATATTAAACAACACGGCATCCCAAACTAGTTACTTAGTAATAATCTTATCGATTATGTAATGATCAGAGCAAACGGTTTTCTATTTTATAGCAATTCATAGCACTGAATTTATTTGAAATTATAATGTATAGTGGAAGAATCGTCACACCTCGTTAGGGTATATAAACTTCAGCAATCACGAACTGGTTTAATTGATCGAAATCACCATGGCAAATCACCATGGCTTTCTTCACCAAACCTCTGACCTCGATGGGCTTTTACAATTCAGGCAACCTGAACTCTTCTTCTCTTATGAATGCTGCTTTGGTCTCTCGTTACTACCTCTATCTGCAAATTCACCCCCACTTTTCGACGAATCATTCATCGACGCTACGGCAAATTTTCCAAAGCTCTATCCTCCACTATACCTTTAATGACTATCATCAAACCAATCATGTCTGTTCCTCAGGCAAATAAGCGTTTCCACGTGATCTCATCTCCCATCAGACCTTTACTGAATATTAATCGTAACGTTCTTACCAATAAACGCGAACTTTCTACTTCATTTACAGCCCGTAATCACCTATTATTGATAATGTACTTAAATACGTTTTCAAAAAGCTTTTTACTTTCAAACTTCTTAGATCTTAAGTATTGATTTTTAAAAGTGACGATTTTGCCATCAGCAACAATATTACTTTGAATCGTGAGTATACGATTATATTGACGATGACAATTATGTTCATATTAAAAGTATCGTTATAGTAAACGCTTGTTACTTTTAAATATCCTATATTTTAGTTTTCATTTCTAAAAATGACGATGTTGCTATGAGCAAAAGTATAATTTTGAGTTATTTTGATGATAGTATACGATGGTTTGATATTGGTGATAATCACAAGAACTATTTTTGTTTGAATATACCTATTTATAGAAGGATAGCATTAAGATATAGAATCGCTAGCATCGTTCTACGTTATTAGGGGCTAACCTTTGTTCTTATTCCGTTATATAAAATATATAAGTAGAGTGCCATTTTCCAAAGTTTTGCGTTATATATTTCATTTTTATTTCAGGCAAAATTATGAAAATGGTTATGTCTTTTTGGTATGTGAATATTAAATTACATGATTATGTCCTTGCAAATGCATGATACACATGGCAGTCTCGTCTTATAACTCATATATAATAGGGAGCGAACAAACAATGATTACCGTATATAGCATATTTATTTGCAACGAATACTGTGGATGATCAAGTACAAGTTTTCATAACGAATAAGAGTTTAATTATTATCGAATGTATGATATACAAAGTGCCTGTATATAAAGTTAACAAAGGGAGCCACATTAATGCAAACAAATCTAGACGTGATTTAGAACTGATGTAAATTTCTTTGTTCGCCGTTGTTTACTGTAGATAATTTTAAAAAATGCTTTTTTTTTTTAAAGTGATGGTCACCAGAGAATATTATATGACTACGCGTTAAAGAAATAGTGAATTATAAACTTTGATACGGGACTGCGTAACTATCAAATTCAAAATCCATTACAATTCATCTACGTCGAAAATCATTTCCTGTACAATGTTTTTCTATCTATAATTTTTTAATACAAAATCAAAGTATCTAGCTCCATTTGCTTGCCGACTTCTTTTTTAAATGTATGCTGTTGATACTTAATGTACGGAAATATTTTGATAGAAAAATGAAAATGCTAAGATGCATACATCGATATTATAGGTGGTGAAAGATACTGAAACTGTAATCTCTCATATGAAGAAATTAAAGTGTATCTCGAATATATAAAGTGTATTTATAATCAGGTATTTTTAGGTACGTAATACATCTTTCATCTTTATTGTCCATTCGTTAACCGCTAATTAAACGATAATGGTTAAGATTTGCAAGCAGCATATGAGGAATATACCGAGAGACTAGTAACATGGCGGTAAATACACTGATGACTAATTGTCATGTATTTTCGTTGTGAATTAGTCGCTCAGCAAAATAATTTTCTAAGTTTTCCCGGAAAGTTGGTTTTGGCTATAGAACGCCCAAAAATACACGCAAGCTTTATTTTGGCGTGGTGCGTCAGACTTGTGCCCATAATAGAATTATCACGAGCTTTCGTCATACATGCTCGATATTTCTATTGTTAACAAGGTATCTACAATTAATTAAAAAATCAATCTCGTTGGCTTGATAAAAAGCATCCAATAATTTCGTACAGTTCAACGTTTGTTCAAATTAATCAATTTTGTCGCTAAAATTCGATGTGAAAAATAAATGAAAAACAAATATATGTGAAATTGAAGGCTTTATTCAATAAAATGTAGTACAATAATAAACCAAATGTATTAATAGTACATAATTGAACAGTTTGATTTTGTCAAGTAAAAAAAACTTGGTGTGGAACGAGTTTCAATCTATTACAAAAAAATGTTAAGTTATCACAATTGTTATTAAATAACATATTTAATGAAAGAATTATCAGCGATAATACTTAAATTTTTTGATAGTTTGACAGTCGATACATGTAAAATGATAGTTGAAAGATCTCAAATGCTTTGTATACACACTTACTACTCTTGCATTCTCTCGCACAATCTTTGTACAAATACAATGACTATTGTTTTACAGCCAACTACTCACAAAACCGCACACTTCTCATATTGGCGACATTTGAAGTCGCAGTTTGGCAACTTTAGCATGTATATAATGTATGTAATTTAATCAATCTAGAAAGAGAAAATTATATGAATAAGTTAACAGTAGATCTTAGCTGACATCAATACATGCTTTACCAGAGCAGCACACTTGACAACTATCATTAAAATAAATTTAATTCTGCGTTGACACACAACATTCTGTTCAGACTCAAACATACAACCTCGTGCACACCTAGACATTCTTTACAGCGGGAGCAGCGGTATGCTGGATTGGGACAATTTTCTCGCCCGGAGCGGGAAGAGCCAGCTTAGGTGCACTGATAGTAAGCACACCATCGGAGGAGAGATGGGACTGCACGTTGGCGACGTCGTGTCCCTCTGGAAGAACGTAACGGCGCACGAATTGGCGTGAGATAAAACCGTGTTCGTCCTTCTTCTCCTCGTGCTTGGCTTCGACGACGATGGAGTTGTCGACGGTTTTGACGGTGATCTCGTTCGGCGAGAACTGCTGGACGTCAATGTTCACCTGGAACTTGTCCTTGTCGTTGGTAATTTTTGACAAACCACCAGACTGCTCGAGCATGTTGCGCCAGGGACGATAGTAACTACGGAAACTTGGTGAGATAGCAGTGTTGAACAGATCGTCCCTCGTCATGCCCATGCCGAAGTGCTGGTCGAGGAGGCGGCTTGGACGCTCAAAGTCATCCCACCAGTCACGGAACAATGTTGGAATTAAGGCCATTTTCGCTTTTGTTTCTTATCGAATAACCTGTAATAATACAAATGCAATTAGTATAATAGTAGATCAAAATATTTTTCAATATTGCTACAATCTATCATTTTTCCAATAATTAATACAATCAATTATTTCGCGAAAGTAGCTTATATTTTAACGAAAAGTAGAAACGTGAATAAGCACTATGAAACAACATTTTGAAGCGTTTCGTCAAGTCAATTTTAAAATAGAGATAGATTGTTAGTATCGATCATCCCCGAAGACGCGAACCTTACGATTAACAACGATGTCAATTTCAGGAGGAAAGCATACGAATAAATTATAATTCAAGCTTTAAAATTATTCATTTCAGAAACGCTTTAAGTAAATAACGCGTCAACGATTAAGTTTTTCGCGTTTAAAATACGTCGCGAAATGTTCCACTAAATTTGTAGGCGACCGTCAAAAAACTTTTAAATATTTAATTTAGTAGCAAGCCGAACGAAAGTAAATCGAAATTGTATAAATAAACTAGAAAAAATAAGCAAACACAATTGCTGTTCGCAAGATAACGAAAACGTTAGCGAACGTAGGTTATTCGCACTCGCGATGCTCCGAAAGTATAAAAAAAAAAAAAAAAAACGCGCACAGCTCGACAACAGTGAAATAAATGTGCAGAAACGTCGACGAAAACGCACACTAAGGTAAACGTTGTTTCACACAAAGAAATAAAATTAGCAAAGTCAGTAGAGTACACTCACGTTTATCGTATCGTTGCTCAGATTCAACTGACTGTCGGTATCGCCGGCCGGTTGGTTATATATGTTCGTAGGCTCGCTTCGAGATTATTCCGTCGCTCCTGCGTGCTTGTCGAACGCGCGAGAAGGCACAAGAATTGCAAAGACCCTCCGGAATGATCTTGTGCTATTCGATGTATGTAGGGGACACCTTTCGTCGAATTTTCGACCTATTACCACGACGTTTTTGTTTCGTACTAGAACGTTTTGCAAACGTATGATATTCCCACTTTATAATATAGTATTTGTATGTACATAAGCGTGCTCGACTCTTTATTGCTTTGCTTTAGGAATTCTGGTTTTATGTAGAAATGACAAGCGAAAAGATGCTGGTTTTTTCTTTATTTGAATTTCGTCGTTACTTTGTGTGCGAATAAATGACATTTAAATGTATTTTTCAAGATATAGAGTTCTTGATTGTTTTGATTATAAGGAAATTTGAAATCGCCGATGAAATTTGATTTAAATAATGCTCGTTCTGTTTGTTTATACATACAGCTGGTATGATTTGCACACGAAATTTTTACCAATGAGATTGAAAACACATGGCATTTCAGATTGATAACTTGTAAAAAATATATTATTAATATTATCAGAAATTTCTTTTCCTTTATCTTTTTCTTTTTTTGAATCTTAAACAATGGTATCGAAATATTTGGGAGTAAATTTCATCTTCGTTACTATATCATAGCTTTTGAAGCGAAACAAAGCAAACAAAGTGACAATTTCTAGAATTTTCTCCACACTTCACGCACAAATCAAAAGAAATATGTATATAATTGTGACACAAGTTAGGAACCGACGTAAGTTCGAACGACAGTAGCATTGAAAATCGTCGGATAAAACAGCGTGTGATGATTCAGCGTCGGCCAATTTGAAAAATCGCCGGGAAAATGCCGAAAAGCAGCACGGAACCACGTTATGCGGTTAGCGAAATCAACGTTTTGTCAACGACATATGTATGTATGCCAGGTACGGTCGATGTTTTTTTTTCTCAAAGCTTCCATCGCGGAACGTTTATCAACGTTTCTCTTTTATTGCAAACGTAATTATTGTGTAAGTTCTGCCATGCTTTTTTCCATTCGAACATATTCATTTGGTTACACGTGGTTCAATGTCGAGCTAACTTTATTTCGAGTCTGCGTATTTTCAGTCTGTCTGATTGCTAAAACTAGAATTCGGCAGATGTAAAGAAATTGCAGTTGGTCGTGAATTGTGTTGAAGAAGTTTAGAAAGAACATAATTGCGTTTCATTGTCAATGTCAACAATAATCTTTTTCATAGTTAGGGCTGCCGGGATTTAATTAATACCTTATTTTTTAATAAAAGTTTTTTTATTTCATTTCCAAAGTCTCATGTAAAAGTTTAAAACTGATACAAGCGAAATATATTTTATCGCAACGATTACTGAAGTACTCTTATGAATCTATAAAATAGCTCTTATAATATTTAAAGTTTGTTGATTTGAATCTTTAAAATATAAATTGTTTATCTTCTCTCAGCAGATTATTCTTAAATTGGTTTTTAGTATGATGACATTAAGTTGATGATATTCGAGAATGTTATTTTTTAAACAAATAAATAAGTGTTTTAACGAATGTGCACCTTACGTTAACAGCTTATATTATATCTGATATAATGGAGATAACTTTATATTTGTATTGAATACAAAGTGAACATTAAAATTAAAAACACCAATGTATAAATTACTATGAAATACATCTTAATCTCAAAAAAATATAAATAACTATATTTACATTTGAATTTCAATGTAGTGTCGACATCTGTCGGATGTATGATCAACTTTGAAGTGCGTTAAACCGAAAGAAATCAATATTGAAATGAATGTACAATACTCAATGATATTAAAATTATAATATTTTACTATGAATACTGAGAAATCAAATAACGCATGTTACCCTCTGATTGGTGAAACGCTCTCATTCAGTATAGATCGCGGATTATGAATTTATCTTTTTATATAAAACTATAGATAAAAGATAACCCAGTCACAATTAAATAAACACTATAGAATATTATTTTACTGTTATTCATTATCATTCGTTGTAACTACATAGTTGTTTTGTTTTTACATTAACACTATAAAATATATAATAGGTATATAATTTTATATACAACTATGTCATAATTATAAAATATAATTTTTATGTAGAAATTTGAATTGAGATATCGTCACGACATCTATCGTATTCACGATGAACCTTAATCAGCGATTACTTTAAATATATTGTTTATCTCACTTATCGAAACATATAATGATGGAAACAGAGAATTTGTTCGACCATTAAAAGTCTAATAAGATATTCAAAGTTTACTAACAATAAAGTAATACTTAATTTATAACAATAACAGTGAAGTAATACTTAATATTAAATTATTCATATATACTTCATTTTTACGTTAAACTTCATTGGCATATTTGCAACTAGAGAATTATAAGAAATGGTACTCGTATCAAAGTCCATATAAAAAGGCACGACTTTATCATGTTGGTCAACAATATTGAGTGATAAATATTGAAGAATTGAACATGTCCAACAGTTAAATTTTCTTTTTAATTTATTGATACTAGAAAAATCGGGCTATATTCGTTTCATACAGATAGCGATTCTACATACATTTTAAATTTTGTTTATTCAGCATAACGCTTTTCTATTGAAAATGAAAAATAAAATTATATTGAAAAAAATGAAATATTCTCTGACACTATATCATACTAACGATTAATTAGAACTAACTATTCTACATTATATAATCTATATTTTAGCATTATTTAATAATGTGCAGAATTTCATACATATAATTTTTTCCAATATTTATCTATTCCTACAGATAGATTTTATGTAGAATACTTTCAGTCAATTATTTTTTAATTGAATTTGCTGTAAACAATTTAAATATTCCATAGCGTTTTCTGTTCTAATAAATACTATGTTGTGTATTTTATTCAATTAAAAACGATTTATGTTAAATTTAAAAATGACTTAAAAATTTGTGTTAATCAAATCGTGTAGAAACGGCATTTGTATAAAACGAATCCGGCAAAAAATCTAAAATTGTTTTATTTTATTTAGTAATTGAAAAGCAGATTTTTCCATTAAAAAAAAAACAGTTTTTTCTGCTCTCGTTTGATCGAAGAAGAATTGCTGATCTTTTCAAATATTTCTCATCGACATGAAAATTGTATTTACTTCGTTATTATAAATAAGTAATGACGATATTTATATATGTTTTGTTTATATTCATTTTGGTCATTTATTGATCGATTCAGTCATTTAACATGTGCAACTAGTAGTGCTCATCTTTATCAATAGTTTTCATGTTATTAGAAAACTAGGGTGTCTACGTTTAATATAAGAACAGTTTTCCGATCATTTCGTATTACGGGGATAATGGAATTCTTAATAATTTTATGTTTAATACTGGACGTGTGCCATTATTATACGTGTGCCAGTGCCGTAAGTGGGTGGCCCAGGAAGGGGACAAACACGTTATTACTCATATATATAATTGCTACTTCTTTTTTTTTTTATTTCGACGTGAAAAAATAAACTTGTGTACTATTTAGACAAATAGAAATGCTGGATCAAAAGTTATCCTTGAATTAATATCGGTATCCTTAGTTAAATATAGTGCAAAACTATTGAGCCTCGTTGTAATGTGTTAAAAAGTAGTCGTCGGATATATAAGAGTAGACGTAGTCAATTTTAGTTTTCGCCGTTATGAAGTAAAAGCTTTTCGTAATAATAAAGGAAAATTGCATGAAATTATTGATTTATCCATTTACCGCGTTAACAACACCTGAAACTCGTTGAATGACAAACAATAACTTTCGCACATTATAGCTTTGGATATGCACAATGAATGCGCATTCACATATTTAATATAAAAGCGATTATACATCACCGTGCAACAATGGGAACGATAGTCGATAATGCAATCAATGGCCGACAAAGACCATTATGATTTAAGTCAAAACAATCACGCAGAGCTCTCCGAGTCTCTATCTCTCTCTCTCTCTCTCTCTCTCTCTCTCTCTCTCTCTCTCTCTCTCAGCGTGCGTAAATTGAATGCCTATTCCGAGTCGATGCAAGATAGCGATCGCGTATAATCGATGAGCGATCAAAACGTACGTGCCAAGGTCGACGACGTGATCGACAGTTCGCGTTCTCCATCTCTTGCGCGTCTGTCTCGCAAGCTCATCGCGCGCGCACGTTGGTGTTGTCCCACGCGCGAGCTTTAAAGCAGCTTGGCGGCTTCCCTTTCGTCTACTCTCTGCGGTCGAGGCTGCATCTTCGAGCGAATGTGTCACTTTGTTGATGGGACTGGCTTTTCCGCTCCACTCTTACATTATGCAAACTTATATTTTTTGCGTTGAATGTTCTGTGCAATATTTATTAGTGAATTATGCGAAGTGCAAGCTTTTAGCGGTATGCTACATAATTTTTTTCGGCTTGAAACCGGCTAGAAGGGGGCAATTTTGTTCTTGCGCTCGATAACTTTCGTATATGTATAATTTTTATTAATACACGAATGAGCTCACGAGGAATAGCATTTTCTTTGATGATCAAGCGGAATGCGAATAGAAAATATTAGCCTCATTCTCACCAGAACTTTTCTAATCAAAGTCGACCTGTTTTTAATGATACAGTTATGATAAATGTTAACTGGAAACAGTCACTTTGGAAGTCATAGAGAGACGCCCAAGTGATAAGAAGAGATACGTACAAGATTTATCGAAAAGGTAAAGAAATGATTTTGGTGTCGCGTTAAACTGATTCAATATACTCGTATATATCCTATAGAAAAAGAGAGAGAGAGAGACATATGTGGACATTTATTATTCTCGTGATTACATTTGCGAACATTGAAATAGTTACGCTACACCTTAATAGATCAATATATTGTTTACGGACAGGGAACATTGATTAGCTCCATAAAAGTATTACTATTCATTAGAGGGAGCAACATTTTGAAATGGCAATTTATCCGGTGGATCTATATAAAGATTTCAACAAGTGTACACTTATATATGTCCCGTCAAGGAATAGATTGATTTTTTTTATATCCTGTACTTGCGGGGCCAAGCGCTTTTTATTTGGTAACAGTTACCTGAGTGTCTCGTTATTAAATCAGCCTCTATCGTGCACGTTCACGGCACCTATTTTATATTTTACCGCTTGATTGAATCGTGTATTTTAATGTTGACATGTTTTATCCTTCGCAAAAAAAAAACGACTCTTATCACTGTTCTTTTTCGCACGCAGGTTTTTTACGTGACAGAACACCGCGGAATCTTCAATTTTGTAGTAATAAATCTTCCAATTAACTTTCAATGAGCTTTCATCTGAATATTACGTTTAAGAAGAAGAATAACAAGGTAGGATTTTTTTACATGGGCTTATTAAACCAGAAAGAAAATTTATGTTAAGACGAGATCGCAATTCTCAATTGCACGGTATGTTCAATTTTAAAGGGAACAGCGTCTACAGAAAGAACTCGTATTATAAGATATCAAATATTGATTCTTCGTTCATTCCAATCGGATTTACAAAAGTCCAGTGCCATTTGGAAAGGTCGAGTTTCATTCTAATATTATCGACGCGAAAATGCCGTATATCCATTTACTTTCTTGGTGTAAAAATTACTCCGGGAAATTAGGCCAAGTACATTGCGCGTCTTTTGTACGAATGTTGCTTATTCGATAAATCTGATCAGGCGTAATAAATTTAAAAATTGTTCTGAAGAGCTGAGAATTTCCTTCACGTTACAGTTTTTAAATAATTTGTCATTTATCTTTATCGCAATCGGTAGGGTAATGACTATAATAATTAGTTATTTTCTGGTGTAATGCATCATATAGCAATTAATTGATATATAGGGATCTACAAAGTCTCAAGGTAATCATTCGCTTTCCGAAATACATATCAGTTTATTTTTCATGAAACATTTTCAACCGAGATTTCTTCCGCATCTACCAACGTATACCTAACTCTTCTTTCACTGATTAAAATAAATAAATAATCTTCACCGATCATATAAAACATCCGAATATGAAGAAAAGCAAGTAATTAGTCGCACATGGCAACACACTAATCGAACAAAAACTACCTGACTCTCCTCTCTCTCTTTCTTTCTCTCATACATTGCATTGGAAAGCAGCTTAGCGACAGAGAGCTAAAGCGACGTTCGTTCAGTCGACCGCTCTCTCTTTTTCACAGCGTGCTACTTCGAAAACTGAAAACCAGTGGGGTGTCGTAGGGCGAAAGAGAGAGAGAGAGAGTGAGCGAGAGGGGGAACATATACCTATAACATACGTGGTAAGGTACGTGTATACATTCGGTGCAGGGAGAGAGAGAGGCATCGAGGCCAGGGCTAGGTTAGGCTGAGTTACGGCACGACATGCTCTCTCTCTCGCTCTCTTCCCCCGGATCGGCTACTTTATTTTCCCTACACCCTTTTACGCTTGGCGTCAGTTGCTCTACAAACGTTACTTCGGAAAGTATCTCGGATTATTTCTATTTGTTCAAGTGTAAAGCACGTTTGAAATTTCGCCTTTGGCTAATCAGGTAATTGATGAATGACCAGGTAATCCAAAGTAACGTGTATAAATTAAAATGTTCATCCAAGTAACGCTGGATATAGCCAACGTTCGCGATTGCAGAACAGCGCGGCAAATAGGATTTGAATCTCCTCGTTGCGACGAAGATAGCGTAAAACAGGCTCTTTGCGGGCAATGGGGGTATACGTATTCGAATTCGTTTCTCTCCCTCTAATAAGTGTATGCGCCCGAGCTAACGACAAGGACAGGCATAGCAACACATCGCGTGACGTACGAAGTCGCGCTGTGCTAGCTCTGTGGGCTGTGTAGCTGGTCGGCTAGCAGCGCCAGTAGTCCGCTTGCCCTCGGCGCGTTCTTATCTTGTTGGAGGTAGCATACGCGCAAATTTATTCTCTTAATCGCGTGGCTTACTTTTGTCGGTAGTCTGCCGTTTATGGCGTACAACTTACTTTTTCATATTTTTGAACAGATTGCGATGTATCTATACAGTTGGCATATAACCTAACATCAAATTAAGTAAATGTGTTATGTGCGGGGACCTAGTTTCATCCGACAAATTTGTATGGAACGCGTGCTAACAAAAACTTGCCGTTGAGCTAGAAGTGCGTGGTTTCGTATGTCTATTTTCAACTAATTTTCTCATACGTTTAACGTCAACTTAATTTCCTTTGGTCGTACGATAAACACGTTGCCAGAGCGTGTTTCGAGTAGATAAGCTCGCACGTTTCCTAACCTAAAACGCACACAGACACACGAGAAGAGGCCAGTGAGAAAGAGAATAAAAAAAAAGCACGACGAATTGCAGCAAAGGTTATCTGTAAATATCAGCTGTGCAATGTGCTGTGCAACTGATCTGTCTTGTTCGTTAGGCCAATTGAGGAAAAAGGAAGAAAAAAATAACCGAGCGCCACACGCAGCGAAACTCGCATGAGAAACGATGACTGTTGTAGCAAGCTAAAGAATATTCGCGAGAGAAGAGCGCGTGATGCGTTAATTGCCATTGAAGGCTCCCCGAAGTCGCAGAGATTCAGACAAACATACGCTTGATATATACACATTGCGGACTCTCCAATCGCACTTTTTCAATGAGAACGAGCGCCGGCGACGACAGAGCAGAAGCAGCAGAAGTAGCAGGCGACGAGCTGTCAAAATCGCCGTCGACCACGACAAATATGCCCAGCCGTGCTGGCGAGACCTCGCGATCGCGTGTTGTCTTCCTTGCCGCAGACGCCACTGCACGGGGTTTGTTATACACCACTTTCATTATGATATACTTATTATGTGCGTTGAAATCCAAACAAAGCTCTTTTTTACATAACGAGTCTTTAATTTTCTCACGCGTAGTTAGTTTTTTTCCTTCAAATCGTCACGAACGTAGATGATAGCGAATTGGAGTTTGCTTAAATTGTAGATGATATCAGAGCATTTGATGAAACATTTGAATTATCTAACGCATGTATGTGATCAATTGCGATGCTTTCGACGGTAGAGGCTGTGTCAGTTTGAGTTTTTTTCCATTATGTGGAAAATTTCCTTAGCTAACAGTTCCTCCATAAAAGCTTCATACGAAGTGGCCATTGTCGTTACACTTCTGTTGATGATCATTATTAGCTTGAGAGACTGTAAAATTAAGACGTTGCCAAGTCACGAGTTTTCATTTAAAACATTCATGTGCATTCTTTCTCAAAATGAATTTTTGTACAGTTTATTTTGTTACACTCACTCTTATCAATGGCTTTATCGGTTTTAATTAAAAAATAACTACTTGTTGCTTGGCGTACATTATATACCGCTCGGACGCGTATATGTAGGTATAATCGTATTAATGCAAAGTATGTTGCTTTTATACATCAGCGAAATTAGCATTTATATGCGCTGAAAGCATTGTTCACGCGGCGTTGTAGTCCGATTTGGAGTACGTCGTTATATGATACATGATTTTTGTTATACGATGCAATACAAACAATAATAAGCTTTTAAATGTATCTGTACTTATATTTTGAAAACAACATTATAGCAGTCGAGTATTTGATTTCCGTGTGTGCAGTAAAACACTTGCGAAACTATTTTCAAGTGTCATTGAACGTTACATTTCAATTCATAAGTGAACATTATATATAGTTTTTACAAATGAAATTTTGTCTTTTTAAGTTTTGCACTACATTTTTACATTGTCTATTGGAACCATTTTTTTTTTCAGATAGTGAACGATCATTTTTAAAATGCATGTCAAACGAAAGACTGAATTCAGTAAGCATTATTTGACACTGACGGCGTCTATCAGGATGACAAATCGCAAAACTATCGTACAAGATTCATATCGCTCACTGATCACCGAAAGCTTACCTACACATAAGTTAGGATCCATGTTTACGAAGCGAAAATTGAAATGAACTTTGCCTTGTCCTTTTCGCCTGAAATTCAATGGCGCTGCCGCGCGCACAATATTTATTGCTTGCGTGTCCTCACAGAAGCTACACGGCTAGTGGAACGCTAAGTCCCCGTGCTCTGGCTGCGTGTGAACCGAGCGGGCTATATCGACTACAGTCCAGATGTTGCACGTTGGATAGGAAGTCTTGTAGAGAAGCCGACGCTGTAGAGATATTCGATAATGGGACACTTTCCGACGCAACTCCTTGCTCTAAAATGTATGGCGCACGCCCTTATACCCGCGACGTTGTCCATTACCTGCAAAACGTTGGAAATATCGCTTTTATCGGTGTTCAATACCGCCGTTTCAACAATACTTCTATTCATAATGACTCTTACGGAGATGTGGCAATGAATATTTGTTCTTTACTTTGATAATTTTGAAAGACGTGGTTCTCGATCTTCTTGATTTCATTGCCATATGCATACGAGTAAAGCCGTCTTTTAACAATAATTGTTACAAAATCTTGAAAAGTATAATCCTGCTTAATTTTACTGTATTTTTCATATCTACATTACGTAGAGGTTCAAATTAAATTCTTATCTGAAATTATGGTGCTTCGCCGTTTTTTCTGCGCGCTTCACTTTATCGCCCGTAAAAGCCGCTATTTGACGTGTCTTTCAGGATACCAAATTTTACTACCAGACCGAAAGCGATTTTACAGACGGTAGATGCTCCTGTGAACGCATCCTACCTTATGTTAGCGGGGCTACTTCGGTAAACAAACGTCCTGATGGTGACGGTCCAAAACAAAGGATTCACGCAAAAGTATACCAATTCGAGCAGAGATTCACGAGTGAAATCCTATAGCAGTGCTTCTTCACTGTGTATAATTATGAACTAATTTTCTAATATTAAAGTATCGAAGAAATGCTTTGCAACGCTTATTAAAAACTGCGATCTGCAATATTTTGAAACAATGACCTAATCACTTTTTTTTCTTCGAATATAGTGTATCGCATTTTATTTTCAGGCGTATTTCTCTTCTCCCAGTTTCAACTTGCGTAGCATATTTCAGAATATCAAATTCTGTTGAATAATATAAAAATGTATCAATGGCTACTTGATTGACAATGAAAAAGCCTAGGAAATTGAAACGGCTTTCGAATATTTCTACTTCCGCGTTACGGCTTTTATACGCGTGGCAATTAAAATCTAGAAAAAGCTGCGTGAAAGTGGTTGATTAAATTTACCTTTGCGAGTATTTCAAAGGAGTAATTCAATTAAGTTTGTAAGTTTTCATCATGTTCTCGTTAATTTGACAATGACTATTGAAAAGGTTATCGCATAATGATATTCATTTTGTTCGGAGACAATAAAAGAATTTCCGCGAAAGAATATTCCAACTGTATCGTCATTTGCTTTTTATCGGGGTTTCATGTTAAAAAGTTCTAAGGTGAAAATAAAAGCTCGAGAAAATGAGTTAAGTGGACTCTTATATAGCCTGTATACTCAACTAGAGCATCCGTTCTTGTAACTTTAATTGCGATTTTTTTCTTTTTTCCGAACAATAGAAGTTTTCTCGTTCATTTGAAAACTAAAAAGTTTGACCTTACGTAAGCGCTGTCGTACTATTTGTTAATATTAATTTTTCAACGGCAAAATAAAGGTTAATTTTACCTTTTACCTTGATCTTACGCCTGTCGTTTCTCTATGTACTATTTATTATACTATTATAACGGATCGGGCGGCGCAAAAGAAAATTACAAAACTGCTCCAGTGTCCTAGTTTTGTAGAATTTTTTTTCTCGAGTCTAGAAAGAACGCATTTTTTCAATTTCCATTTGATCCTTCAAATGAAGCTATTCTTATTCTCTTTTTGTCCAGAAGAATTTTTCTTAATCGAATGCAGAAAAACACATTGACTCCATTTTGTTCATATCTTATTTTCGATTAAGAAACGAAATATTCTTTAGAAATGCTTTCAACTAATTATGTTTAGTAAAATTCACAATATAAATGAAATTCTTTCAGATAATTCTACTTTGGAAAGATTTGTTATTTTTGCACTGTTGAATTGAATTATATTTAGAAGTTCCACTTACAAGGATTTTATTCAGCGGACAGAAATCCTTTGAGAACGCATTGTTCATTTCCTGCCTTTGACATTCGAACGATATACATAATTAAAAAGAATGTTCTCAAATAGATAATGTGTTATTCCATTTGCATTGAAATTCCTATTTCGAGATAATGAAACTTATCTAATTTTCTTTTATTTTAGTGATATTCAATTTGAAATTTAGAGATAATTAAATATAGCTTTTCCAAACAAAAGGGAATATTACTTTTTTCTTTAGTTTTTCTTAGCTCTTAATTGTTGAAAAATATGTGTATCTTAGTATTTTGAACTGTATCTTATATTATGTATGTACGTACATAATATAATATTATCTAAGCTTTTGAGAAGAAACAATTCTAGAAGTAATTAACTGCGGATAAAATGGCTCAACCTTTATCAATTAAAAAGTCGAGATAACACGTCCCAGCTAAGTAATTCTGCTCGTCCATTTTAATTTACAGCTATTAAGTTTTAGAAACTACCAATAAATTGTTCATCGCTCATTTGTGTAATGAATGATGACATATTTTATCTGATTTTAAAATAAAGTTGATTTTGAACAAAGTTGTTAGATAATTGTTAACAATAGCTTACTGAAAGAAATTCTATAGGTACGTTTTACTAAATTGTGTAGTAAAATACAATATAGTAACGAAATTAAAATTTTTTACTATGGGGTACTAAAATATAGTTCAATATAGTAAAGAGATATTGTAAAACTAACTATTTTGTATAATTAATAAAATATAATTAATAATAATGTGCTGAATTTTTCGATTTCGTAAGCAATATTCAATTTATTTAAGAAAAAACCTACATAGATATTAAGGTTAATTAATCATTTATTGATATGTACTATATTGTTTATTAATTTTTACTTTTTAATATAGTTTCTATAATAAATAATATTAAAAATATTTTTCCATTTTGGAACATTTTTCTAACGTCTTAAATCTTATACACGTAGTCTCAATTATTAATTGATATTTATGATGTCTCGTTTGATGAGAGAATTGCTCGGATTATTTACATTGTTGTTGAAAGTTTGACAACACTACATAAAACGCACGTCGTGATGATGAGCGCAGCACGAAAGGACTTGGTTGATGTTAACAAGTCCATGAATACCACTGAAATGGATTTTAACCGAGTGAAAAGATATTTGATAGAGTGGAATTTGTTATTACAAAGCATTCATTATTTTTTCATATTTTATGGTAATCGATTTTTAATTTTATATAATAAAACGAACTATGTATAATAGTTCTCTATTTTACTAGAAAATATAGTATACCTTTTTAATAACCATTACTAAACTTTGCTAAACTTTGCTAAACTTTACTGGAACAATGCTAACAATTTCTTGGCAACAGTTGCCATGCTTTTCGGAAAAAAGTCATTGCAACTAACTTTTAAACTTATTTCATCTGTTACACCTGACCTTGACATTTATTTCTTATAACATACATTGAATATTTTTTTCGCACAACGTTTATAATAAAATTCTTTGTTATTATCATTGAAGTCGGCAGTGCCAAGACAACCCCGTCAGCATCTTCCAAATAGTTTGACTTGCTCTTCGTTATATATATGGACTTTAGCGCATTATCGTGGCCAAGTGCATCCATAAGACAAAAGCTGCTTGCTATAGGCGCCTATTTCAAAAGTTATCGTCTCCGCACAATCACAATGCTCGTTGTTTGAAAATCTTTCATTTTCAGCAACGTGCCCTTACAGTTTAGGTGAAAGACGTTCTTTTTTTTCGAAAAAAGAACACGCAGTGAAAAATAGAGAAAAAAAACGAGGACTCGATTCGTCAAACTGACGCTAGGCGAGAGAAGAGAACGAGGTCGCACTGGCGTTTGTTATTTATCCGAGTTGCAGTAGCAGCAGCCGATACGCGGAAGAGTGCAATTACCACGAGTGAGATTCCACTGCAGACGTTAACTCGCCTCGAAAGACGCAGCGACAACGTTTCTGCATTGTCGCGTTCGCAATACTTGTTGCTGTTTGCGCTCTCGTGGAACTTTTATTCGCCGCCTTGTTCTGATCTCCATCGTGTAATCCGTTTGCAGCCGCGACTGTTTGTTTGGCTCAACTGCTTAATCCTCATGCGGTCGATTTACAAGTTTACTGACAAAACGATGACGACTCTAACATAATTTTAACTTGACGTAATTGAACCAGTTTTTTTCTGCCTTACTTTGGTACGCATTTGGTCATGGAATGTACATACTGTTCAAAACTAGCCCCGTTGAATTTCAAACTCGTGTGCGAAGTTTCGCTAATGATATATTGCGCCAATTAGTGGGAGAAATTGATAGTGCCTTCGAGAGATGCCTGCGGCTTTGATCAATTAAGTCCGATTCTCAGGATACTTTCGCAAGTTTTTTTTCGATTCTTTTATTGAGATGTTTCAACTGTGTGAACGAAAGAGATTTTTTTTATTTGCGCTTAATGTCGAGATGAAATTCAATTCGCATTTTATGCAAGGTCATGTTTAATTTTTTTTTCTTTAGAATAATCAGATACAAATTATTGCAGAAAAGCCTTGATATAAAATTGTTTGTTTTAACGTAAATGAATATAATCAATTTCAACTCGTGAAAAATATTTATACTATTCCACTTATAAAATATTGTTATTTTGTTTCAAAATCCTGTTACGTAAAGTCAATTTTTCTAAATTTCATCGATGGCTCGTTGATTTTTGATGCCCTTACATAGGTGTTTTTGTTAATAATCTTACTACAATTTTATGTAAATTTTGTAAATATTAAGTTTTCATTAAAATTCAAACTGGCTGGTGTCTATAAGAATGTTTTTCTTTAACTACGATTGTATATTCGAAAAATGTTATTTTAAATCTCATTTTACTTCTCTACCTCACAATAAAGGTGGGATTTATTTAAAGTCGCATAAATAGCAACATCAATCATAAATAATTCGAAAATAAAAGTTTTCGAACTGCAGACTATTAGTGATCGCTAGTACATTGTAGTTATATGCCTAAAATAGTATCATGTGAATTGACGGACGATTAATTTCCCCCAACACAATCACATTCCAATCATGAATGTTTCAAAGCGTTTCCGTGACATCCGTTTCATAATTGTTAGCGCATCCGTCGGCATGAATCGAATTTTCCAGCTAGCAAAATGGCCGTCTCATTTCTCCTCGGGGAATATAATTTAAATCCAATCAAAGTTTACCAAGTTGCCCAGACCGTCGGTAGCAAATCACTAAAATTTTTAAAAAGTTTGTAAAAAAACCTTCGCCTCGAGGCTTGCAAGTTGATATGAGTTTTTTCCTTTGCTTTCAACTGTATACTAGGATCCGTCTACCTCATTTTTAAGGCGTAAAATCGAGACGTAAATAATTTCTTTGGCTTACGTTGCGTTAGATGGCTTAACCCTTTTACTAAAATAAACTGAGATTATTAAAATTAATTGAATAAGAAAATCACGATCCACAAATTATGATAGAATCTTATTTTTCACTGCAACTTTGTTTATATAGCTAATTTATTTTTACTTAGTAAACAGTGTTTTCGCTGGTAACAAATTTGAGATAAAAGTAGCATTCTTAGTCAATCAAAATTGCATGAATGTTTCATATTAAAATTTAACTATTTTCAATTGCAATCTACCAAAGTGCTCATAGTTACGTATTTTGGAAGTATCAAGTCGTAAATCCCTCTTTAAAAGTTTTCAGACGCAAAATCATAAACATTTAATTTTTAATAAACGACGACAGAAACGCGCAGCAATTGTAAATAACAAAATGCTGGTAAAAAAAGTTTTATTTTGATTTTCTCTAAAAAACAATCCGAGTTGTAAAAAAGTGCAAGTCGACGCAAATTAGGAAACTTTTTTCTTAAAAATCAAATTAAAATAAATTGTACTTTATTTTTTTACAGCAGGTGTGATGTACATGAACGCAGTGAAACTTCAGAGCTCAAACCTTGCCTGCCACCAACTATACGATTATGTAGTAACGCAGCCTTAATTAAATTGCCGGATCATCCTTAAGATGAAGTAACTTTCCCGTAGTTAATTTTATTTTATCATAGAACGGTAAGTTCATTTTTCCATTAGTTGTAGTTTCATAAATATACAAACTTTGCGGTTTTGATAATATTTTCTATTTGAATGTATGTACCTAGTTTTTTCTAGTTGAAGAAAGTATTGCGAGCTTAATTATTTTTTGAAATGTATTCAAGTACTCCTGGAAGACTCACCATCCAGTGTATTTAATGACCTAGATTTTTAATGAAATGTTAACTTTTTTGTTGTCCCGTGATTTCAAGAACCCTTTGAACAGATTGTGTTTGTCCTACGTAAAAAAAGTAACGTAATTTATCGTAAGAAAAATAGGCGTCGAAGAATAGTTAGAGGGCAGTGTTATCTTTTTTAATCTTGTAAATAAAAGGGAAAATCCCTTAGGGACGAAGTTAGTGCTTTGAGACCCCTGACACCCACGTAAAGCGAATGTCTTTTGGCAGATATATATTGAAGGGTCGAACCCTCTTACAGATTTAGAAACTTCGCCAATGGAAGATGCGATAAGTTGCTCAACGAGGCTGTGTGTTGTATTAGCGCAACGAATAGAAAAAGAAGACGACGGAAGGCCAAATTTCTCTGCCTCCTTTGTCACCTGTCGCGTGTGACGTTTCCCACGCAAGCGACTAGCGAGGGATGAGCCAAGCGACGGGGCAACGCTAAATTAGAGGGATGATTCACAAGAGCAAGAGTATTCGAGTGGTACGTGTCGAAAAGGGACTAGCCTCGTTATCTTCTTACCATGTTTTTATTTTTCTCTTTGTTGTTTATGTATTCATGCACCATTGTTGCGCTCACGAGACACCACATTTCTCTCTTCTTTTTATCTCCTTTCTCGCACCGCCCGCAGATACCAGTACACATACATATACGAGGGCTTTGTCAGCGTATTTTTATATTTCGAGGCACGTGGAGAGCTAAAAATGCTTGCTGTTTAAATATTTAGCTTACAGCCGCATGAAAGCGTGCGCGCGAGCTTCCCCTTTGTACGCGTGCCATTTAATCATTTACAGCCAATATGAGCATCCGTGATTGCACTATTACCAAATCCGTGATTGCTCATTTACCAAATTTACTTGTCGATTGCTCTTCATATTTGCAAATAGCTGCTACACGGATATTTCAGCTATTTATAGCATTATCGAATTATGCTTGCTCCAATTTGTTGCCCAAGAGGATAATGCAGCCTTTTCAGCCTTCAAAGTGCCTTAGTCTTTACGTTTACCTAGTTTGAGCAAATAATTACGTGTTGTTTGTACACCTTATTAATTATAACGATTCCGTTATTTTTTCAAGCAACACACGTTTGCTCAATCATCCGTAACGACTTTTACCGATTGTTTACACTTGTTTGTCTTAATTTGTGACAAATTGGTGCGTTGCTCATTTTATATTTCACTCTCGTAGCATTTTAAATTACATGTAATTTTTTCTTATCGTTACAACACATCATTTTGCTCCGCACATTTTATAATACAAGATAAGTTTCGAAAAATCACATGGCTATTCGTATCCATGTTATCTGCTCTGCATATGTATTAGATAAACATCCACCTTATATATTTTCTTTCTGTGGCACGTATTTTCTATTTTGAAGTTTATGACGTAAATAGCGAGTGGCCTGGATAACATTTTCTTTTTATTCGGATAAGCTTCCATTCATTCAGCTGGGATTTTGAGAGGAAAAATTTCGTACACGACTTTATAATTAAGCTTTTTTCAAGTTGAATTTACTAGAAACCAGAATGTCTTTGAGCTTTTAATTAACATCTATGAGTGACCTCGCGAAACATTGTTACTTGATAATCGGATTAACGAGTGTTAATTTTTCAACAGTATCACGACTGTATAAAGTTTCTAATGTATTATTACATTGAACGTACAAAGATTAATCGTATAAATCCTCTACCTTCATTACAAATACTTGCAAGTTCATATAGGCATAAGTGTTACAATGTAAATTTTGAATTTTGCTGGCAAAGCCTGGATAACCTGTTGTCGATTTGCCACCGGCGAGCTCAGTTTACTCCACCGAATTAAACGACAAAGAAAACACTCTTATTCTTTCCCTCTTCGATATACATATCAAGCACACCCTTTCGGCTCCATATCACTTTGCGCACCGCCTAAATTTTTCGAGAAAAAAAACGGAAAGCATCATTACGCCCGACTTTACCGAAGCTCGTCGAAATCGACGGAAAGAGCCCGTTGAGCTTTTACGTCTTTGCCAACGTATACAACTTTTTGTTCATTTGGCCAAGTTTTCCGAACAAAAGGAGACAATACACGCACGTGTCGATCCGAAGTGTCGTGCGCGCCCTACACGTTCGCGTCGTTAAGTAATTGGATTCGTCGTCCGACAAGAACGGAGAAACGAACCATACTATCCACGCGCATGTCTACAATTCACCGTCTCTCGCCTATAGCCTTCCCTTATCAGATGCAAATTTATCTTATCTCAGCGCGACGCACACTCAGAGAGACGACTCAGTCTACAATTTCGCTAAATCAACGATTCTTTTTTTCGACTCTTCCTCCCACTTTCTCAGTCGTCGATCCGTAACCACGGGGATTGGATGTAATAAGTGAAATCTCGTAATCGCCTCAATTATGACTGGGGTTAGTCGATCCTTATCGTGCCTGTATTAGTCTATGCGGACTGGTGCTGACGGAATTGTTCAATGATGATGGTGCTCGTGATGTTTAGTTTTCAACTTCTTCTCTGTTTTTTTTTTCGTTGCTTATTGTGTTTCTTGTTTTTTTTTTTTTCGATTGGCAATGACTGTAGGTTGAAAAAGGCGAGTATCAGCGAGAATCAGCAAGATGGCAATTGGCAGTGTAATCTGTGGAGCTAAGACTCCCAAAACCAAACGAAAGAAAGTGAAGGTATTGTTTAATCATTTTTTTTTTGCTTTAAGGAGTCGATGAATTTGTCATTACAGTTGCCGAGTTAGTGATGTTGTAATATCCGTTGTGCCATGTTTTGTACAAAATTGTAAAAACAAAACTATTTTTGATTCTTTTAGTTTCAGCGTATTCCTTATCACTTGTAAATACTTGGTTTTAAATGCGCGATAAGTACTGTACAATATTTTATCTTAACTTCATCACACTGTGTTTGCTGTTTCGGACAATTCATAGAATAAGTACATTTTTAGAAATAGTACAAACATGCACTAAATAAAATGCCGACACTTCACTCGGCCGGCAATATCGCGCTGTACATTGCCCACTGTGCTCCCGTGTTACGTATACACTCGTTTTCCACACGCTATGCGTAAAGTGGAGACTATGCGCTCTCTTAGCAGGAGGCACAGGAGTACGGTGTGTGAAAAATAGTAGATTACGTATCCACACCTTACCAATACTTTCCCAGCCTCGGTACGTAATCTACTATTTTCGTGGAAATATTAACGTACGGTTTTGTAAAGTGTATCATTCGCGATAGGCACGTTCAAATATTCAATCAAATCTAAATATGAATCTACTCACGTACAAGATATAAGCTACTTCCGCGATCAAAATTTTGCCATCGATCATTGTTTTTGAATATTATCAGAATGACACTCAAAGTTCAACTATTTGAGTAATTCAATGTGAAAAATATTGTCTCAAAGAGAACAATTAAAGGAGAATGTAGATAACTTTTTTAACGATTTACCGTTGTTGTTTAGTCTTTGTTTAGACAACGAGTATTTTTTCTACGTATTCACGCGGCACAGAGAACGAGTTATGACTTCGTAATGATCGCCAATTCCGATATGAATTCTGCGCATAGTTCACCTGGACATCCATCGTGATTCATCATAATTTCCACATTATTGTTATATAATGCGTTCCGACAACCGCCTTTGGTTCTTTTTTTACGTGGAAGTAAAAGAAAAACAGAAGCAGTTGGTTAAAATCATAAATTAAATCGATTGTTATTCTGCACCTTACGTAAATACCTCCATTATATTTTCATTCTCTTCCACTAATTGAGTTGAGTCGAGCCTGAAACGCAGGAATGCGTATAAGAAAAACATCATTATAGAAAATTATACGATACGCGTAATTTTACTTGGAAGTATGCGTGCATGTATTGTGGCATGTATTTGTATCGGTACGTTGCATATGAATAATCACACGTGAAAAGTAATGATTTTTGATTGAAAATTGATGGTTTATTTTTGCATTAGATCACTCGCACGCTTAGAAAACTCATGGAATTAGCTGCGCATTGACGGTGAACGACCGGAGTAACAGTAAATTCAGAAAATCATCGTAGCACGTTTCGTTATTAAGCATCCTTACGTTTTAAATGGTATTGTACGCGCAGAGTGCGGTTAGAAAATTACGAGGAGAGATGGTAAAAGGCACGAGGCTTTCGAGAAAAATGATCGATCGATTGAGCCGAGAATCCGAGAATCGTCTGCTCGTTGATAAAAGAATTTTGTGATGTTATACTTTTCTAGACAACGGAACGAAGTTGGATCGAGGCTACCTTTCAAAAGCGAGAATGCACGAAATTCATCCCCAGCTCGAAGGATGTGGAACGGTGAGTATCGGATGGATGAAAGAATCGCTTTGCGCTGCTCTTTCTCTTCTTTGTATGTTTTATACTTTCAATTGGTGATAGACGAACGAATCTTACATACGTGTATTCGAATTATTATTATGATTGAGAGTGGATAGCAGAAAAAGTTCTTTGTTTCTTTTTTTGTTTCCTTCTATGAAAATCTTCACTTTCACTTAGCAGCGATTACATATGAAAGAGCTTTAGCACGCGTGCGTACACGAGGACAAGTTGCTTCATTCATTAAGTTCGATTCCTTTGGTGTATTCATTTCTCATTAATCACGAACCGTCTAATGTTCCAGTCTTTGTTCTGTGCTTTGCCCGAGGAGAAACAAGTTTTTCACGCGATATTGTCAAATAACATCAAAGTATGTGCTTGCCAATGGAACGAGCGTTTATCTTTATAGACTGCGAGCCACCTTGAAAATCTTTCCCTCTCTGCTTTACCACGATGGCAAAGCAACATTTCCAAATTTCTACGCACTCGGCGCACCTGTAACGACTGTTCGAGCGATCTCCAATTAGTCGGTTAGCGAAACAGCGCGCCAGTAAACTATAGCTCACTGGATGCTAGTAGCTTGAATTTGCAGTGGGAAGAGGTTTGAAAATGATCGAACAGCACTCGAACGTAATGTCTTCCATTGTATATCGTAGTTCGTGGTCCGTGGAAGAAAATTGGATATTGAAAGTTGATCCTCGAGCAAAATGCAAACAGCAAACGACGAAGCATCACCTCGTTTCTTCCATCGTGTCGCTATGTCGCAGAGTTGCTGCACGTACGGCGTACGACGGCCGCAATGCACAATAAAGAAACTAAAGAAAGCTGCGCTGGAACGCGTACCTATCTATATGCTCTCTCACGCTCATCTACCTCCATCATGTTTCTCTTATGATTTACCATATGTTTTTTCTTTGTTCTCATACCACGTCGTTTAGGTTGCAAGAGGTTAAGGGCGATAAGAGTGCGGAATACGACGTGATCACTGACTCAAGGTGAGGCTACAAGGCCACAAGTCCTGAACCATCACACCACTATACCTCCTCGCCCTTGTCCATTAAAAGCTCGTTTACGCATATTAGTCTAGGAGCCAAGGGGCCTTTCGTGGCCAACGGGGGTAACGTGCTCGCGCTGCCGATAAGTAATAAAAAATATTATTACTTTGCGATCAGCCAGCCGCACGATTTTTCTGTATTTCGGTATTCGATGCGCTCTCAACTCAAACTTGGACGGTGGCTCGTCGGTTGTCCACGAATCGAATCTTTCAACGACCACAACAAACATTTGCTAATCGTCGCTATCTAATAACGAACGCATTAGCTCTTTCAGAATTGACAAATGTTGGTTGCTCGCTCGAACAGTCAAGTTGTAAAAAACTAATAGTCTGCTGATCTGCGAACAAGGAGCCATCCAAGTTCACGCGTGGCACGAACAAACGCATAGAGTGCAGTAGGGCGAGGCCCGTTAGCCCCCCAATCGGCGGCGAAAGCCCCCCTTGACTCCCAGCCCAAACTACAAGTTACGTATTGTACTTTCGTTCCACGCGAAGCTGTTGCGCAGACACCGACGGCTCCTTCGTTATCAAGCTTGCATACGCGCGAGTCCCGTACGATATTGTTCTCATTTGGGAACCCTTGGAGATCACGAGCTAGCCGCACTCCCATCGATCGAAAGTTTCAGGGCGATTCGGCCCCGCGTTGGTGCGACGTCGCGCGCGACGAGTGCCCAACGCGAATTGTAATTTCTCTTCGGAGAGCAGCCACAACCAACTGGAATGCAAATTGATACGCTCGCCGTCGTTCGCTCGTTTAACGCGCAAGCGGATTTATTTAATGGGATCCGCAGGCTGGCGCGTGCCCGTCGTGGTCGGAAAGAAAACAATCTCAAGCCGGGAAAGCGTTGTAAACATTTACTCTACGCGCTACAGCCACTAACGGTGTCCTTAGTATTCTTGGACTCATTTCAAGATAGTACCCTCGATGCGCCGTAACGTACACTCAGCGAAAAGTCGAGAGGAAAATGCGATGTCAGATAGAAGATTCGGATATACGGGCAGCGTAAAGATGCCGGTGTTTCAGAAAGAGAGCTAACGTAAATTACTCTGTTAATTGATAAATATAAATCGCGATTTCGAAGCCTCGTCCGACTGATAAGCCCGACCATGCGCTATATTTTGATTTGTCGCTAGTGTTTGTGTTTTTTTTTTACTTTTCGTTTACATATGAAGCCATTGACATCGTAATAACCCAGTGCGTTGTTTCATATTTTCTTGTTGATCGCATTGACAACTAAACCCATTTCACCTAAAACGATGAAACTAGCATTGTATATCGCTTTCGCTTGTAAAAAGAGAAAGGAAAAGGCCGCAACGGAAGAACAGCAGATGCGTGCAAGTAGCATATTCCATAGCAGCTTGGATTGTAAAGTATACGTGAACGCGTGTATATAACGTTGCAGTGTCGCTGCTTTGCGATTGAATGGAAGGTGTGATTTTGCAGTGCGCAAGTGACGTGAGAGAAATCGCGGGTGGGCGATAGATAGCGTCATGGTTTGACGCGCCTCGGTGTCAAATTACAGGTGCTGCTGCGGTCACTCGTATACCCATCACTGCGGCACGGGCGCCGACGTCGGGCTGCACCACATCAGCGGAGGCGTCGCCGATCGCGAGAGAGACGAGTGGTGCCCCGGCAAGAACACCAAGCAGAGCGCCACTGATGCTTACGGCACCATCGAATTCCAGGGCTTACCGCATCCCACCAAAGCGCAGGTATCTATCGCTAATTGGCGGCGTCAGCGGCATTCCTCGACGAATGCTCGCCGAGATCCCGGCGAGCACGAGCAATTTCAATTCGCATTGTCCGCTCGTTTATTCGCAGTACGTAAGATTGGCCCACGATACGAAGCCCGAGCCCATCGTCCAGCTGCTCTGCCGAGAATGGAATTTGGGTCTGCCGAAACTCCTCATAACAGTTCACGGCGGACGCTCCAATTTCGAGCTGCAGCCAGCGCTGAAGAAAGTTCTGCGCAAGGGACTGCTGAAGGCCGCCAAGACCACCGGGGCGTGGATTTTCACCGGGGGAACCAACACCGGTAGGCTCTCGCCAAAGCACGCGTTGCATTTACGATACGCTGCTGCCCCTCGTCGTCGTACGCCCACGTGAAATCGAAAAGCTCTCGGCGTAACGAGGTGCCTGACGAACGAACGCCTTTTCTTTCTACGTAGGTGTAACGAGGCAAGTTGGAGACGCGCTGCTGTTAGAGAGATCGCAGCGACAAGGACGCGTTGTGAGCATCGGCATTGCACCTTGGGGTATCCTCGAGAAGAGCCACGAACTCGTTGGTCGCGGGAGAGAGGTTCCATACGACTCGCTGGCCTCGCCCTGGTAAGCTGAAAGCTCGTTCGCAGAAGCGATTATTTCCAAATCGGGGAAGAGAAATGAAGAAATTACTTTGTCTTATCTCTCAACCGAAATCGTGGGCTTTCGCCAGTTTCGTACACTTGCGGCCTATTGACGAACTGCCACTCTTTTCCGCTCAGGTCCAAGTACGCGGTACTGAACAACCGACACGCTTTTTTCCTGCTGGTCGATAACGGCACTGGAGGTCGATATGGCGCCGAAATTGTGCTCAGACGGAAACTCGAGAAATATATATCAAATTTAAAGCTGCAGCCATGTAAGCCTCTGCTTTGAGCTGCAAATCAATTCGTGTTTTTTTTTTCTCATTGTCCTTCCTCGACTTCGACAGACACGCACAGCAGTATACCGGTAGTAGCATTAGTCATCGAAGGTGGCACAAATACAGTTCGCTCTGTTTTGGAATACGTGACGGACGAGCCACCTGTGCCCGTAGTCGTCTGCGACGGTTCCGGACGTGCCGCCGACATCATAGCTTTCATGCACAAGTAATAATTCCACGTACCTTAGATATTCGCCTTGATCCAATTGCTCGGGGAAAAGACGCGAATGCTCGTTTATTTGTTCAAGATATGCCTCCGAAAATGAAAATGACGAGGAAGAGGGACCACTCGAAAGTATGCGAGATCATTTACTCGAAACCATCATGCGCACGTTCAAAGTCTCGTCCGAACAAGCCAACCAATTGTATTCGGAATTGTTGCAATGCGTGCGCCGAAAACACTTGGTAAGTCGATCTCCGTGTAATCTCAGTCGACGCGGAAAATTCTGAAAGAGCGGCTTCAACCGTTGATCGTGGTTTTCATGTGCTTGCTCAACAGATAACCGTATTCAGGATATCGCAGGATCAACCGCAAGAGCTCGATCAGACGATCCTCACGGCGCTGTTCAAGTCGCAGCAATTGACACCTGCGGAGCAGCTCTCGCTAGCTTTGATTTGGAATCGCGTGGACATAGCTCGCAGTGAGATCTTCGTCTACGGGCAGAAGTGGCCACCGGGTGCTCTCGAGCAGTCGATGATGCAGGCACTGCAACACGACCGCATCGATTTCGTCAAATTGCTGCTCGAGAACGGCGTGTCCATGCGCAAGTTTCTTTCGATACCAAGGCTCGAGGAGCTCTACAACACCGTAAGTTTCGAGAAACACTTTCGTTCACTCGTATCTTCTTTTTTTTTGCTATCTCGCTGTTGATGCCGATTGCTCAAGATTAGCTAGCATTAATTTCTCATGGTGCTTGGGGGCTCGCGACTCGTCAACATTTTCTATTTGATTTTTCAACGCGACTACTTGTCTGATTCGCTGACTACGATCGTCGATAAACCCCGAAATGTGTCGTGTACGTCAGTACGACGTTAGATAACGTAACGAGTACATCGTTTAAACATCAGCATCTAGACTGTGCACGAATGCGAGTCAATAGAACGTTTCAATAGAAGACGATGTAAATGGTAGGCATTCATTGGAGCTATCATGCGGGCGAAAGGAGAGCATCCGAGTGTGATACGGAACTTTTTCATTTGGATTCGAGCTGAACCAGTTCAAAACTTAAATATTCGCTCACGTGGTCGTGTCATAGAAAGTCGACTATAATCGACTGGGCTACAGAGAAAAAAAATGAGAGAAGCTTGCGAAGGTCTAAAATGTTTATCGGTGATTAAGGGAAGTGCAGGATCATCGTGCCGCAATATCGTGAACGTTGCTCGAAGTATCGAGACGATCTATTGTGGCCGAGCCATCGAACGAAATTAATCAAGCTAAACTCTGCGAATTGGCACGGCCTCTTTTGCAGAAAGACGGTCCATCCAACACCCTCGGCTATATACTTCGGGATGTTCGTCCGCACATCCCACGTGGCTACATGTACACGCTGCACGACATTGGCCTCGTGATCAACAAACTGATGGGTGGTGCCTATCGGTCGCAGTACACGCGCAAGGAGTTTCGCTTCCTATACACGCGCGTAATGAAACGCTCGGGTGGCTTCCAGCAGCATCACGCTCATCGCAACAGCTGTGCCATCGCGCTCAACAATCGATCGTTTTCCGGATCGGCTGGCAAGTCCACCATGAGCTTACTGGCCGAAACTATACCTGCCACTCAGGACACTGCACTCTTCGATTTCCCATTCAACGAGCTACTCATCTGGGCCGTACTCACGAAAAGACAGCAGATGGCATTGCTCATGTGGCAACACGGTGAAGAAGCTTTGGCCAAGGCACTCGTGGCTCTCAAATTGTACAAAGCGATGGCACACGAAGCTGCCGAGGATGACCTCGAGACCGAGGTTTACGACGAGCTCAAGGGATACGGCAAAGAGTTCGAGAATATCGGTAAGTACTTTTATCGAGCCGATCGAGGGCTTCCAATTTCATTTTTATCGCCGCCTCGCCCTCATCAGTCTCCGTTTTCCCGCGCGTTTCCTCCATTTCCTTTGTTAGCTCGCTTCGCGCTGTTTGTCGCGAAATCCCAATCGCGCAATTTGCAATAAAAACCTTGGAAAGATTCGCGCTAACGATCGCAAATACGTTCGCTTTTCTTTTTATCGCTTGAAAGAAGATGGACTAGTAGCGTGGGAAGCGAGCTGATAGCCGGGCAAGCACATTTAAATGCGACCTTTAGTCCGCGTGTTTCAGCAAGATAAACTATTCAAAGCGCGCAAAATGTATTTTAGCGAAGTTCTTCTTAAAATCCAAGCGGCAGCTTACACTCGCCACGCGTGATAAGCGTACTCGTGAAAATGATAGGAGAGAAAAATGTCGATATTGGCTTTCCTAAGATGTATGATTAATATTAATAATATCCAATATGCCCCGCAGCTTTGGAATTACTGGACTATTGCTATCGGCAAGACGACGATCTGACGCAACAGTTGTTGACGTCAGAGCTGAAAAATTGGTCTGGACAAACATGCCTTTCGCTTGCAGTGACGGCCAATCATCGAGCTCTTCTCGCGCACCCCTGCAGTCAGATTATTTTGGCAGATCTGTGGATGGGTGGACTGCGTACTCGCAAAAGCACCAACTTCAAGGTATATCAACTTGCAATCGCACATGCGCTCAATTTAAATCTCTGCCTTTCTTCTCTGGTTTTCGCATGAAAGATATTTTTTGCAACTTTCCTCCGAGTTTTCTTGATGATAAATTAGGTCACGAGCTCTTCGGGTGAAGCTTTACGTTCGGCTACGGAGAGAAACTGCGAATTGCAAATTAATTCAAGCAATTTTTTTAATTACAAACCTTACAGGTGATACTCGGACTATTCTTTCCGGTTTACATAACTTACCTCGAATTCAAGAGCCGCGAAGAGCTGCAATTGATGCCGCAGACAGCCGAGGAGCATCTTATCGCGCTCGAGGACGAAAATGAGGACAGTGAGTCAGAGCAAGGAACCCCAGCTGGACCAGACGTCGAGGTAACGTATTGCATATTAATGCATCCCCTTCTGAATCTCATTTTATCGGGGGATTACGGTGATTTTTCACAAAAACGGGAGCAGAGAAAGAAGCATTCTCATGAATATCCATAGATTTTTCCGTTGTTTTTTTAATATCCTTTAGATGTATGAGAATTCCACAAAAGTATCGATTTTCTTTTAACCTAGAGCCTCTTTAAGTTAAAACTTATCTATTTGAGATTTCTTTTGATACCGTGAAACGTCAATAAGCCGCTAAAAAATGTAGCTCTCCATAATGGAAATAATGAGGAGTACTCAAGTTACTCAAGGAAAATCATCGGTAATCCATTCGGAGTTTAATCGTGCGCGAATGAAAAGTTGCGGAGACGTCTTCTGCACTTAATATGATATTGACAAGTGAATTAGCGCCTCGTTAAGGGAATTTCAAAGTGTAAAAAAGATCTCTTTTCACCACGGAATAAGAAATGCGCTTGCGCGTCATTGTTGGTCTTTCCTCTTCCTTTTCATTCAGTTGGGAATTTTCTTTTTCTTTCTATGCACAAAGCTCATGATGGATACAAGAAAAATCGTTTTATACATTTATTTTTTCTTTTTAGATGATCGTATGGGACTTTTTTTTATTCTACGCTATAAATTATCCTTTGCAAATGCTCGTATCCTTAGTAATACATTGAAAAAAGCCGATTGAAGCTGGTTTATACTTATTTGCGCTTTTAACTGACCATACGCACTCTGCAGCTAATTAAAAAATTACGTAGTTAATGCTATAAAGTAGTATGCGGGTACTAATAAAGGGGAACTATTTCTAACATACAATAGCACCTGTTGTAATATTGAGAGCCGTAAGTGGTTACTTTGATATTTATCGGTTTCGTCGGTTAATAACGACCTGATTACAATGAAATACATGACCTAAATTGAAATGTCACAAATAATATTTTGGAAAATATTAGATAATCCAAAAGAAATAGCAGCATATCCTGACTTAAAAATCTTGATGAAAAATGTAGATTGAAAGATGAAAAAACTTTTGAACCCGCACAGAAAAAATTTCATCACGCTAATGTTGTTGAGCCATATTATAAAAAATTAAACCACAGAAAGCTCTCGGCATATACATGTCTCAATATAAAAAAGCTGTTGAAAGAGTCACTAAAAAACAATAATCCTCGTAGCACAACGCTTTCGATAAAAAAAAAAAAGAAAAAAAACGAAAACAAGTTCAACTATAAGTGGTGAAAGAGAACCTAGTTGTTATCTTTGGGGTTGCGTCCCTCGGCGCATTGGTGTTTTTTAGAAACAGCCGGTGTGCAGGAGCCTGAGTATTCGCTACAAAGCCAGCAGCCAGCAAGGCGCCAAGGTATACAAACCTTAACCACCGCTTTTACTACTCTTTTCTCTTGCTCTTTCTTCGCACACGCAAACTCACGGATTCATCTACCTCTCTTCCGTCCATCCGCTGCTCTCGCTCCGTCGGCTCGGTTTATGTTTATTGCCATCGCCGCCTGGGCTCTGAGAGCGATAAGAATAATAACGATCGATTGCTGCCCTCTCACACACGCATCCTTGCACGCCAGGTTTTTATGTGACCGAACACGGCTTTACTTATCGCTACCGTACATCTACCAGCTTTTATTTTCTCTGCCAGCTGCAAGTATATGTGCGTATGTATGTGCGTGTGCTTGTACAGTTCGAGCGATGTGCGCCAACGCTTTTGCTACGCTGTCGTTCTTGCGCGTGATTAACGAAAAGCTTTTACGAGCGATTTTGCAAATCGCGTGCTTTTAATAAAATCGAAGACTATATCGTTCGTTTCTTCGTTCTACCGAGATCTTTTTGTATAACACACCGAGCAACAGGTGTATTGTTGTCTGTCATAGAGTAATGGCTTTTCATAAACGGTTCGTTGATTGCAAGACGCCCTAAGAATGTCGTGCCGGCATTTCGAAGTATCATAAGTAAATTTTGGCCAATTAGTAAAAGTCGACGTGCGCAATTTCAAAATACGCAGGTGAGATTGGGCTTTCAGAGTCGTCGTTACGCGAAACTTGGAATGTTTTATCGCTAATGTTTTGCTGAAAGTACTGCAACTACTCTATTTGCTACTTAAAAATACACGTGCCCTAGTTTTAAGAACCCCCAACGCACGTCGCTAACGCGAAAATATTTATACATGTGCCGCTGATATTCATTGCCATTTCCGTTTGTCTACCTTTATCTCGATCTGCTGTACATGACTATCGAGAAATATTTGTGTCGCCAAAGCTTTGAGACTTGTTTTTCTGCTATATACATATTTATCTCTCCGATATAGATTAAACAATATGCATCAGCGTTTGTCACGCTGATGCTAACTTATATTTAGACGTTTTTATATGTACTTATTCACAATATCAACAAATTTCTTCCATCGGAATAAGCAATTAATGTTATGACTATCACTGTACTATCTATAACTTTATCGTACCATAACACGGCAATTCTTTTGATTATTTCCAAATAGAATTGTAAATAATATATATATATATATATGCGCATATATATATATATATATGCGTCTCTCCGGATGCACTACATCGAATTTTTTTATGTATCCGGGTCACATTTGATTCTTCGTTTTCGCTGTTCAATCGTTAACTTTGTGAAATAAAAATGAACCTAGGGATTTTATCGTACCATACAGTTTTGAACTAAATGGATTAGAGGTACTTTTTTATTTGCGACTTTTCGCCGCGGAATACATAACGAAGTTTAGTTGACATACGGACGCGGCTAGTTTTTAAATAATTCGTAACCAGCAGACGCTGAAGTCATCGAGATTACAAAGACCAGTTCGAGTATTAAGCGCTCTTTCTCAACACCAGCTAATTCAGTCGGTTATTTATTGTATAACGCTTTAACGAACCTTTCAACAATAACGAGTTATACCGCTTGACATACTTTTTCTTCCGACAATTGAAGCTCGCGAAAAGAAGTTTGAATTGCATCCAACGAAAATTCGATGTAGTGGCGAAGCGATGCTTATAATTGTCCAAATATCTAGCGAGACAGATAAGAAAAGAACAGAGATAAAGAAAAAAAACGTGTGACAATCGCCTGAGTGTACTGCTACAGCAGCCTTTCGGGGGCGCTTTGTGTTTGTCTGTGGTGGTATAGGCTCTGATCGGCAGCGAACACAGCGCAGCCGTGCCCAAGGAGACAATCGTCCACGAGAATGGCAAAGTGTTGACCGACAACGATGAGGGCAATCATCGCTCGTACGGCATGCTGTCCGACTATTATGACAATAAGAACAGCCGACCGCTAAGACTGAAGAAGAAACTGTACGAGTTCTACACTGCACCTATCGCCAAGTTTTGGGCCAATGCTGTCAGTATACATTTGAATTTTTCTTCCCTTATTTCTCTCGATCAAATTCAAATGCACGTCATTCGTCCGGCATTTCAATTTTATTTTGTTTTTCCATCGAATGCAAGCGGGTCGATCGAAGTTCGCTGTCTAAAGCTCTTTTTAATTTTTTACGCGCAACGACACCAATATTTTCCAACTTCGCGCTTAATCTAATAAGCACAGTGTTCGCAGTCTGAGAGGAAAAATGCAATTGCGTTACTCTAAATTGCATATCTCCGTGGGTCCGTTATCGTGTATATTCCCAGCGCAACTTCTATTGACTTGTGACGATGGCCTTAGTCCATCATAAACATCAAACCGATTCAGCGACAGGAAACTCGGGAGTAGTATAGCAATGTATGTTCCAGCACACCTGCGGGGGGTCCGTAACCCTTTGACCCCACCGGGCTTAACCCTTTGGACCCCCTGGCTATGTTAATAATAATTATTATTGTTAACAATTATTATTAACAATATTCGTGGGGGGTCCCTTGGTTTAACCCTTTGATTCCCTGGCCTCTATCCCTTCTATGTTAATTATTATTATTATTATTAATGTTAATAATTATTTATAATTTTTGAGGAAGGTTACTAGGGCTCCTAGTCCCTAGGGACCCTATACCTAGAGCTTTTAGTCTAATTAAATTTAAATGTTTTTTTTTTTTTTTTTTAAAAAGTTATAAATATATATTATTGACAATTTACATGCTACATTGAGAATGAAACGAATAGAAAATAGCGAAGATTTTTTGAAAAAAATGAAGAGACAGACCGGAGAATCGAACCGGAGTCCTCTGGGTTGGCAGGCTAGCGTTCTACCACTAGAGCCAATGCCACATGTACCTTAGAGGATGCATATTGTGTATATTAGCTACACACGCATACATTTGGTATAGGGCCCGAGCGTGCGGAGGAGGAGGAGGGGAGCGCATGCTGTCTATAGTTCTGGCCTGATGGGGGTGCGCTACTATAGCAGTTTTAAATGTATGCTCTCTCTCTCTCTAGCTCTGACTCAGCGTGGTCCACAGTGCGAGGAGGAGGGGAGCGTATGCTGTCTATAGTTCTGACCTGACGGGGATGCGCTACTATAGTAGTAGTAAACGTGCGCTCTCTCTCTTTCTCTCTCTGTCTCTCTCTCTCCTACGCTCTAGCTAAGCGTGGACCATGATGTGCGGAGGGGAGCGTATGCTGTCTATAGTCAACACGTGCTCTCTCCACGAAGGGAACTGTTTTCGTGAGAATGCTAGAGACTATGAATGCAGTCGCTCGACTGACACCTCCTTGAGATGTTCCTCCTAAACATCTCTGCTAGGAGAGAACCTTATTCTCATCCATTCACCCTTTCTTACAATCGTTATGATTATTTTACTATTTAAATAAGCATACATTTATTATTTATTTAATATTTATTATTTTTAATTATACATTGAATAGAGTACACTTTGTCTATAATCTTTATGTTCAGTGTCTGACATAGCTATTTTTAAATATTCAGTTGAATTTTTATATGAATTATAGTCATCTGTAAATCTTTCGACTGTGTCGATCCCTTTTGATTTTGCTTGTTTTTGTCTTTCCATCATCCAATCGTGTATCTTTTGTGTATTTACTGCAGCACATACTATATTCTCGCCATTCTGACTATGATATATACATGATGGTTTAAATTTAAGACTTAAATCTTCCAATCGCGGACATCTCATTTCAGTTTCGATATCTAAAATATTTCTGTAATTAAAAAAAAAAAAAAACTAATTAAATTCGAATTTAGAATTTTGTACTATTGTATATTATTTGAACCTACTTTTCAGGAATAATTTTTTTAAGCCATTGCTTCTTTTGTAATCCTTTCACATAAATATTTCTACAATTATGTAAATGACTACGTATAGTACAATTTAAAAAATTATATGGTAAAATACCATTTCTCCATAATATACCTATAAAATTGATTTTATTAAATATTTCAAATAAAATCAATGTTAATTAACGATAATTAAAATAAATACCATGATGATGTAATTCCAACCACTTATTAACACTTTGATATTCAATAGACAGTTTGAGCCAATGATATGGAGGTTTAAAAAGTAGTACTGTAGGTGAAGTATTAGAACATACTGGTAAATAGGCAAACTCCTTACAAATAAAAGTATTATTGAGACTCTGAAAGCCTTGAATATCTAAAATATAGTCCATCATTCTCTATGATATGTGAGCTGAATCGTATCTCAAAGCAATAATGACTATATTTTTATTCTGAAGATCTATATATAAACCCTTTAATACTAAATTAATAAGTTAGATGGTGCTACAGTCGGTTCACCCCCACTCTTTCGTTTGAGCTAACCCTTCCATATACTGCCTACAGCGCCCACACTTTGTAGGCAGCGCCCTCAGTTTGCTGACAGCGCCCTCACTTAACCTTTAAAAGCAGCTTTGGCCTAGCAAAAGAGCGCAGTCTCTCGAGACAGCCTGCGAGCTAAGCTTGCCTTACCTTACGCCATTTGCAAGTAGTTCCTCAGTAGTTAGTTGAATCCTTATTGATTTGTTAAACAAATCAATATTCATTACCAACTAAGAACAAGTTCATTTTAGAGCTGTTCACTACCTTTTCCATCCTTTCATCATAATAATCCTTTATACAACTATAGACAAGTGACTGTACAAGACAATAAAACTAGATAACTAACAACATGACTTCTATCGCCTATTTTGAAGAAACAATTAAAAATTTATGGAAAGCTTATAACCATTCGAACGATTTAGATATAGACGATTGTATTAGATGGAGAAATCTAACAGTTAATGCTATAATTTCAATTAATGAATTTATGAAACGATCTGATTTAAGTAGAGCAATTCGACAAAGGTGTCAAACTTGTGCTTGTCATTTGAATTCTATTGAAGTCAATTTAAGTAAAACTATAAAAGTTGGTGGAAGTATACAACCATTAACAGCTATTCAGGATGAAATTCTAGGAGATGGAGTTGTTTGGAGACCAATTCATTCAGCCTTTGAAAATCGAATTAGTACAGTCTGTATAGTTAATCAACATCATTTAGATATAAAAACATTTCTAGTTGCCGCAAATCAACTATTACAAATTAAAATACCTCAATTTCTTGCTATCCATAATAACTTAAAAATAAATACAGAAATGGCATCACAATTTATCATAAAGAAAAATCAAGAAGAAGATATTCAAATCAAGTATTTCAATACAGAAAATGTTTGCATTTATAAGACTACTGATCTTGATAGATGGTTTCAAAATAACGTTAAAGATATTATACTTAAACAAATCGAAGAATTTCAAGAAAGAGACTCAGGCTGGTCGTTAAAAACTATTGTCGGTCTCACTATTAATATAAATAAGTATAATCCACTTAAACCATGCTCGTATATACCATTACCGTCAAGCATAGATAATAAAAGAGCCTGTGTTAATGTAAAAAATGAAGACAATGAATGTTTTAAATGGGCTATACTTTCATGCCTTCATCCAGTTGCAAGAAATCCAAACAGAGTAATTAAGTACAAGCCCTATGAGAATGAACTGAATTTTGATGGTATAAGCTTCCCTGTAAAAATAAAAAGTATTCCTAAATTTGAAAAGTTGAATAATATAAGTGTAAATTTATATATACTAAAAAAATATGGATCGAAATATGAAGTCTCACCGTGCTATATAACGAAATTAAAACAAACTAAACATGTGAACTTACTCTTAATACAAAACGAATATATTGATGAAAATGAGACTAATAGACCACAAATATCAATAGATGATGAAAAATTCAAATTAGAAACTCACTACGTATGGATTAAAACTTTATCTGCTCTCCTTCGTAGACAAGTTACTCAACATACTGAAAAAATTTATCTTTGCGAACGTTGCCTTCATTATTTTACTAACAAGGAAAATTTGAAATCTCATGAAGTTGACTGTTCCAAAATAAATAAGTGTCGGATTAATTTACCTGACGATGCTACTTTAGAATTTAAAAATTTTAAACATAAAGAGGAAGTTCCATTTATTATATACGCGGATTTTGAATGTCTGTTAAAACCTATAGAAGATCCTAATAGAAATCTCAATGTTAAGAGACATAATTTCCAAGAACATGAAGCCTATAGCATTGGATTATATATAAAATGCCGTTATGATGATAGTAAGTCGATATATAAGTCATATAGAAAAAAATTAAATGAAGACGAATCACCAGCATCATGGTTTATAAAGCAATTGAAGTCCCTAGTGATTGAGTTAGAAAAGATATATAATAATGCAATAAAAATGGATTTATCATTTATTAATGAACGGACATTCCAAACGGCAAGAAGATGTCATATTTGCAACCAATATTTTCAAGATAACCAAAAACGAGTTCGTGATCATTGTCATTTAACAGGAAAATTTAGAGGTGCAGCTCACAATCATTGCAATTTGAATTATAAAAATGCTGCTTTCATACCAGTCGTATTTCATAACTTTACAGGCTATGACTCACATTTTATTATAACAGAAATTGCTACTAACTCAGAATTTGAAGGAAAGATCTCTGTTCTCGCTGAAAACAAGGAGCGATACATATCCTTCACAAAAGAAGTTGCAAACAGTCGAATTAGCTTTCGTTTCATTGATTCCTTTCGATTTATGCCTACATCTCTAGATAAATTAGCATATTATTTACCTCAGCTAGATATTGTACAGAGAGAATTTCAGAAAGATAATTATACTTTAGAAGAGATTAATTTACTCAAAAGAAAAGGAGTTTTCCCATATGAATACATAGAAAATTTAGATAGACTAACTGAGACAGAGTTACCATCTATTGAAAAATTTCATAGTCAATTGACAGATAGTGATATTCCTACTGAAGAATATAAGCATGCTCAAAACGTATGGAATATTTTCGGTAGTATTTGGAAGAAAATAGATTTAGGAATGTATTCTGATCTCTATCTGAAAACTGATGTACTTTTACTAGCTGATATTTTTGAGAATTTTCGATCAACCTGTAAGAATGCATATGATCTCGATCCTGCTCATTATTACACTACTCCTGGATTAACATGGGACGCGATGTTAAAATATACAAATATGAAGCTTGAACTATTAACAGATATAGATATGGTTTTATTCATTCAAAAAGGTATTCGTGGAGGTATTAGTCAATGCTGCAATAGATTTTCAAAAGCAAACAATAAATATATGGGTGAAGAATTCAATAAGGATGAGCCAAACAAATTTTTAATGTATTATGACGTAAACAACCTTTATGGTTGGGCTATGACTCAATCACTACCATTTGAGGGCTTCAAATGGGTTTCAAATGTGGATATGTCAAATTTTTTCAATATCTCTGATGATAGCGACGTAGGCTATATTTTAGAAGTAGATCTAGAGTATCCACAAGAGCTGCATGATGAACATAAAGACCTACCTCTTTGTCCTGAACATACTAAACCACCCGGATCAAAACAGAAAAAACTTTTGACAACGCTTTATGATAAAGAACGATACGTTATTCATTATAGAGCGTTAAAACAAGCTCTCAAATATGGACTAAAACTCAAAAAGATATATAGAGCGCTAGAATTCAAACAAAAACAATGGCTGAAACCATATGTTGATTTAAATACTGAAAAAAGAAAGCAAGCTAAAAATGAGTTTGAAAAATTATTTTACAAGCTTATGATTAATGCAGTATATGGAAAAACAATGGAAGACGAAAGAAAACGAAAAGATGTCAAACTGATCAATCAATGGGGTGGTAGATATGGCGCTGAAGCTCGAATTGCCCAACCAAATTTCCATAGTAGTTCCATCTTTCATGAAAATTTAGCTGCTATTCAATTATCTCAGACAACTATCAGTATTAAAAAACCTATATACATCGGTCTATGTGTATTAGATCTTTCAAAAACATTAGTCTATGACTTTCATTATGGTTACATGAAGCAACGTATTGGTGAAAAATGTAAATTACTTTATACTGATACTGACAGCCTTATTTATGAAATTCAAGATGTCGATATGTATGAGATCATGAAAGTAGACATTGATAAATTTGACACATCGGACTATCCTGCTGATAATCAATTTGGAATGCCTCTAGCTAACAAAAAAGTTCTTGGTGTTATGAAGGATGAGTGCAATGCTGCTATTATGAGGGAGTACATTGGGTTACGAAGTAAACTATACAGTATTGAAATAATAAATAAGGATCCCTTAAAAAAGGCAAAAGGAGTGAAAAAACATACAGTAAAAAATACAATAACTCATTCAGATTATCGAAGGTGTTTAAACGAAATGGAAATTATTAAACGTACTCAATGTAATATTCGATCTAAATTACATCAAGTATTAACAGAGAGAGAGGAAAAGACAGCACTAAGCCCTCATGATGATAAACGATGTATTTTTTATAATAATCCGGACACACTTCCGTGGGGGCATTATAAAACTCTCGAAATTGCCGAAATGAAAGAAAGAGTTGAACAATTACGAAGAAAGAGGTATAGAGAAGAAGACGAAGTGATAGAACAAAATAGTAATATGAAAAGATTCAGATTTGAAGAAAATAATTCTAGAGGGCAGCACTAGCGAAAGAATTCTACTCCTTCGACAGTTACTAGATGGCGCTGATGACTTGTAATGGAGAGGGAGAAACAATGGATATCCGAGTCTACAGAGTGGGAGAATGGTTTTAGATGAAGAATCATGAGAGAGGGGAGACTGAAAGAGAGGGAAGCGGCGACGGCGGCTTGAGCTTTAAGAGTGGGGATGCCACTTATAAAACTAAGAGCTCACTCTTGTTCCAAACAGTTGCTCAGCTCTCACTCAAGCAACAGTCTTACCTCTAATACGTCTTCCACTAACTATTGAAACAAGTAAGATGTTTAAATAATTTTAGTTTATTAATACCTTAGTAATAAATAAAATAAATAAATAATTCTTTGATTTTTTATTTTACAGAATGGATTTCTCAGCAATAAATAAAATTTCGAAGACGACTTTCCTTCCTCGGAAGGCGATGTCCCAATTAACATCAAACACGTTATACCAAGTAACAAAAGTTAGATCATTAACAACAAAATATGGATTCAGCGTTGTTATTACAGTTGACGACGAATTTGATGTGTTCCTGCCTAAAAGGGTTAACCTTGTACTCGAAAAAGATGAAGAAATGTTGAACAATCTACATCAGACTAGTGAGAAGGATGAATTATTTATTTACCATATTGTCGGTTCAAACTTCGAATTTAAACATAATTGTATTTTCAATGAATAGTAATTAAATGTATTATAATACTAATGTAAATAGCTACACTATGAATAATAAAAAAAAAATATATCTAATTAAATAGTCTTTTTTCCTTTATTTAACTATCCTCTTATTTCCTTTTGTGGAGAGGTAAAAAAAGTTCTTAATGTAGCCCTTTCCATTGAATTTCATCTCAATGTAAAGGTGACTCATGAGCGTTGATTCGAAAGGAAGTACCTCACAGGTGAGAGCGAAGGTTGGGGCTCTCACTATTCCTATAATTAACCTTAAGTTCCGATAGAGGGCAGTCATTCGAGTTCTAATATATTTATAAGAAGAATGCATAGTTTGCTTTACCATCATTCAGTGAGAAGAAATAGCTATAGCAAGACTATCCTCTTGTGGTTCATCATGGCGCCTATTAGAAGAAACAAGAAGAGCATTCGCGCTTCGAAGTATGTATGGTTCTCAGATAATATTCAAATTCATCATCTTCCTATTGAAGACAAAGACTCGAGAAAAGGAGTGTGGGAGCAGGTTGCACGAGATCGAGAACGCTTCCAACGTCGTATTATGCAACTAAGTAGTATAATATCGCGAGCACTATTTAAAAAACGTATAATAATGATGAATCATATTCTTGAACCTATACTAAAAAATCATTGTATAGTATATACACTTAACAAACTAAAAATCTAAGTGGAGGTGGAAGAAGCAGCAAGTGGAGGTGGAAGAAGTAGCAAGTGGAGGTGGAAGAAGTAGCAAGTGGAGGGAGGCGGCCGTGCCGGCTAGAAAAAGTGTAGGTGGGGAAAAGGTCTTAAGAGAGAGAGAAGAGCTCGGAAAACGTCATTCTGTTAGAAGAATCATTACCAGTAGTATCCACTTCCTTCTCCACTATTCTCAAGTCTTCGATAGCAAGATGGACTTAGAAATGTTAAATAAAATAGCTATGAAGCCCTTTGATCCACTACCGGAGAAAAATCATTATGAACTTGAAGAAAATCGTTGTTATTTAGTAACAAACTTTAAGGAAGAAGATAACAATCGAATCATTCTCGAGCTCGATTGTGAATTCCAACTTATTTTACCAGATCGAATTTCAAGAGCCATCATGAAACATTATGATCTTTATATATTACTTTCAGATCATGTACAAAAATATTGTTTACAGATTGAATATCATAGCGCTGGTAGATTTCAATTTATTATTTAATGTAACATCAATGTATCTTTATTTCAATAAAGTATGTACAATAAATTTATTATAAAATATATTGTGGAGAGGTAAATGAGTCACAGGTGTTTCTACTAAAGCAGGTTTCGACTTGTTCTAATGGACTCACAAGTGATGATGTTCAAATGGAAGTACCTCACAGGTGAGAGCGAAGGTTGGGGCTCTTACCATTAAAATAAAACAAAAATTATTTATTATTATTGTGATATTTATTTGAATAAAATTTACTTTACATAAACGTCTTTATTCTTTCATATGTATAAAGTCTTATCTATCCATGAATTGTGTGAATTGTCGAATCCCAACCATTTAACGTATACTTGATTACCACGTTTCCTTAAAACTTTTTCAATGAGATATACATCAGGATACATAGCTTTCTGTAGTTCTTGCTCGTAAAAACCTCCAACAATTGGATTGCCTTTATAATCTCTTAAATGATAAGTGATAGGCTTTGTCTTCGCAACTTTTTGAATAGTAAAAATCTCAGTAGACCAGTTAGGAGTGTATCCTTTTTCGAAAACGTGTTTAGACTTGCTCACACGTACTTTATCGCCTACTTGAAATTTAGGGCTCTTAACGAAAAGACGTCGGTCGTAAGAGAATCGTCTCAACACCTGCATTTCATTCTCTTTAGTTACGTCTTTTGGCTTCATATCTATCGTACGATGTTTTCGATTATTGTAAGATTTCAATAAATCAGCTAGAATGTTGATCCATTTGTAATTTCCTTGAAGACTGAATTTTTTCCACATGACATTTTTTAGCGTGCGATTGAAACGTTCACAAATAGTTGCCTTAAGATTGCTATAAGTAGAATAAAGGTTTATTTTATATTTTTTCATTAAACTTTGAAAATTTGTATTGTAGAACTCTTTGCCTCTATCCACTTGGAGATTTTTAGGAATGCGTCCCTTTTTTAATACAGACTCCATTGCGTTAGTGACATCTGTAGCAGTTTTCTGTTTTACTGGAACTCCCCAAGCATATTTAGAGAACGTATCTATAATAGTTAACAGATAGCGAAAACCTTTATTCTCTCTAGAATAGTTTTGCATCTCAACAAGATCAGCTTGCCACGTCTCATCTATTCCGCGTATATCGACTTTTCGACGAGGATAGTTTCGACGTGCTGGTTTGTGTAACTCATCCACCACTCTTTGATGTTTCATTTTAAAGTTTTTTTTTTAAAATTTCAAACGGTCCAATTTTTGTAAAAATGTCTAACGGTCCAATAGTTTTTTCTATCACTTTCTCTTTCTGTTTCTCTTTATGATTACTAATATTATCTTTTTCTAACTTAGCAATAATTACTTGATGCTTTACTAATTCTAATCTTATTGCATCCAATGATTTTGAGAGATCATTTATCATACTCGTAAGCGTAGTAACGTTAGGTATAATAGTTTTTTGCAACGTTCGTAAGTTTACAGCATCGTTACTCTCCTGAGGATCGGCTATATAACAAATTCTTTTGTCATTCGCGTCGTATTGTCCGTCTTTAGTGATATTATACCCTATACCAGGAGGACCTTGATTACCCTCCTTTTTTTTCAATGTACGTCCAAACACATCAACACTCATTTTATTACTGAGGAATATTTAGAATTGTTTTAATATATATAGCCAGCTTCACGTAATTCTTCAATGATTGAATGAATTTCATTAATATGACTAGGATTACCAGCGGTTTGTTCGGCGATAAGCAATCTCAATCGATCAACGAGCTCGTTTGGATCATCCCAATATACATAATCAAATAATGTTCCTTTTCTTGCTATTTTATAGTTAGGAAAAAGACCTCTTCCATCAATAGTCAATTTTCGCTTCTTAGCACTACCACTTAAAGATAAATTTGGACCAATATACTTTTTGAATTTATTTACATGCTTATTGCGATATTCTCCATTTGTTTCATATCTCTTACGATGAGCGTTAGTGATTTCAAGAATTTTTATATAATTTTCAATATCTGATGAACAGATTAATTTAGAATTAGGTTCTTTACGAAAGAGAAGTTCCATTAATCCAGATGTCTTGCTGAATGCTTTATCATTCACAGTCACATTATCGTTTTGGAAAGAAATTGGAGAATTGCCTATGACATATGTATTTTCATGCAAGCGAACGCCAAATGTCTTGTCTAAATTACTTTTCTGTTGCGGTTCATGCAATAGTCGAATATAGTTTCCTACAATCGAGTCATCCAATAGCTGTTTTTGTTGTTTTGAACTAACATTGTCTAAATTTATTGCGGTTCTATCAAGTGTTGATTCACTAGTCTTACTAAATTCATCTTCATCACCATCATCAGTAATAGACATAGCGGATTCAAATGTAGAATCAAGCGGATGTAATGTTGAATTTAAGTCATTAACAGTACTATTGAAATATCGAGATTTATAGGGAGTGTCAGCTGTTGTTTTTGACTTGAAAACTTTATCGAACGTAATTTTCTTCTCCTTGTTCGTTTCCTGTTCAGTATTATCGTTAGTTTTATCAATAGCTACCTCCACAAGTTTCTTCAATGGATCAACCATAGGTTTAAAAGTTTCATTCAATGTATTTTCTAAATCAGCTTTGTCACGTTTTATTAGTTGATACTTACGTCTGATGGCATCACGAGCCTCAGATAATTGCTCGAGCATCTTCTTTTCTTTTTCAAAATTAGCCATGTTGACGCTTGCAGTTTCTAAAGTTAAATAATCTTCATTCGTTCACTCCGTTATATTTATAGCAAAAGAATCGAATCCTTTTCTATACCGTCCATGATTGATTGGTCTATCTCTATCAATAACTATAAATCCATGATTATCGTCTCTCCAACATTTTGAACAAATTACTTTAAACTTCTCAAAAGTCATATCTGAGTTAACATGATCATTATAAATATGTTTAATATTCACGTCATCTTGTCGAAACAAAACTAGTAAATTCACATTATCTCGAATGAGATGCTTCGGTATGCGAGCGTATGATTGACAGAGATAGAAACTATCTACCTTTTTATGTCTTCCCATACAGAAGAATGCTCTCACGTTGTCCTGCTTTTCAGTGGCTATATCGTCAAAAATCATGATGGAATTTGGATTAGCTTTATTCGGTGAAACAACTGCCTCATGCTCGCTGAAGGCATAATACTGTATACCATCAATCGGTTCCAATAAATCTTTTAAAAACTTATACTTTGGTTGATTGAGAGACTTTGAATAAACATAAATGTTTTCAAATCTAAGTCCATTAGGATGTGTGATTAGTGTTAGCAAACAGTTAGTTTTCCCACAGTTACTAGGACCACAGAAAACTGCTCGTATACTGTCAGGCAGTAGTTCACCATGTCTTTTTTCTCGTTTTTCCGTCTCAACCACATTATCAAAATTTATGACTTGCAACTTAAGTGGTTGCTCTTTGAAGTCCATATTGTTTTCTATTCACCGATCGAAGGACGAATGAGACTACTAACTATAAAAAGACTGTTTATATATTTTTAGTTTCATTAAGACTTTGTCTTCTGATGAGGTATGATCAATTGTTACAAAAGAAAGACTGGTGGTGCTGGCTTAGTGAATAAGATCATTAATAACTTACCATTCGAAGCTCATTTGCCTGGTTATCAGTATTGCGGACCGGGAACTAAATTGAAAAAACGACTTGCTCGTGGTGATCCTGGAAAAAATCCGCTAGACGCTGCTTGTAAAGATCACGATATTGCTTATTCTCAAAATCGAGAGAACATTGAGGCGAGAAACGAAGCC